TCACTCCCCAAATGGCCACAATGGCCAGGAGCCAGGAGCTTCATCTGATTCTCTCATGTGCGTGCTGGGGCCCAGGCACTTGGACCATCTTCTGCTGCTGTCCCAGGTGCAGACCTAGGGAGCTGGATTGGGAGTGGAGCAGTTGGGACTAGAACTGGTGCCCATACGGCATGCTGGCACTGCAGCAGCGGCTGCACCTGCCATGCCACATTGTAGGCCTCTGTCTTGGGGCTGTTACCATGAGAATCCATTAAGCTGTGCATCTGATGTAAATATTCTGATGTTGAAAAGTCAAGATCCTTTTAACTGTTGCTCCTCAACACTGGACATCGCCAAATTACATCTGGTGAACTGACAGCTTGGACTTTGAATCTCTCTCTGTGATTTTTAGTTCTCTGATTGTTAGCTGGTGGAGGAGGCTGTCATGTGACTGCGGAACCTGACCACCCATCCACAGTCTTTGCCCTCTTCCTGTTGCCCAAGCTCTTTGACAAATGATTTTTTTTTTTTTTGACAAGCAGAGTTAGACAGTGAGAGAGAGAGACAGACAGAAAGGTCTTCCTTCCATTGGTTCACCCCCGAAATGGCCGCTATGGCCGGCGCGCTGCACCGATCCAAAGCCAGGAGCCAGGTGCTTCCTCCTGGTCTCCCATGTGAGTACAGGGCCCAAGCACTTGGGCCATCCTCCACTGCCTTCCCGGGGCCACAGCAGAGAGCTGGACTGGAAGAGGAGCAACCGGGACAGAATCTGGCGCCCTGACTGGGACTAGAACCTGGTGTGCCGGCGCTGCAGGCGGAGGATTAGCCTACTGAGCAGCAGTGCCGGCCATGACAACGATTTCTTTTCCTTTTTTTTTTTTTTTTTTGGACAGGCAGAGTGGACAGTGAGAGAGACAGAGAGAAAGGTCTTCCTTTGCCGTTGGTTCACCCTCCAATGGCCGCTGCGGCCGGTGCGCTGCGGCCGGCGCACCACGCTGATCCGAAGGCAGGAGCCAGGTGCTTCTCCTGGTCTCTCTTGGGGTGCAGGGCCCAAGTACTTGGGCCATCCTCCACTGCACTCCCTGGCCATAGCAGAGAGCTGGCCTGGAAGAGGGGCAACCGGGACAGAATTCGGCGCCCTGACTGGGACTAGAACCTGGTGTGCCGGCGCTGCTAGGCAGAGGATTAGCCTATTGAGCTGCGGCACTGGCCCATAAATAAATCTTTTTTAAAAAAGTGGCTGGGGGGCCAGCATGGTGGCTTAGTGGGTAAAGCTGCCGTCTGCAGTGCTAGCATCTTGTGTAGGTGCCGGTTCAAGACCCGGCTGCTCCACTTGCTATCCAGTTCTCTGCTATGTCCTGGGAAAGCAGCGGAAGATGGCCCAAGTCCTTGGGCCCCTCATGGGAGACCAGGAAGAAGCTCCTGGCTTTGGATTGGCTCAGCTCCAGCCATTGCGCCCAAGTGGGGAGTGAACCAATGGATGAAAGACCTCTCTCTCTTTCTGTCTCTTCTTCTGTCTCTGTGTAACTCTGACTTTCAGATAAATAAATAAATCTTTTAAAAAAAAGTGGCGGCCAGCGCCGTGGCTCGATAGGCTAATCCTCCGCCTGTGGCGCCAGCGCACCAGGTTCTAGTCCAAGTCAGGGCGCCAGATTCTGTCCCTGTTGCCCCTCTTCCAGGCCAGCTCTTGCTATGGCCCGGGGGTGCAGTGGAGGATGGCCCAAGTGCTTGGGCCCTGTACTCGAATGGGAGACCAGGAGAAGCACCTGGCTCCTAGCTTCGGATTAGCACGCTGCAGTGCGCCGGCCATGACGGCCATTGGAGGGTGAACCAACGGCAAAAGGAAGACCTTTCTCTCTGTCTCTCACTGTCCACTCTGCCTGTCAAACACACACACACAAAAACACACACACACACACACAAAAGTGGCTAGGGTGGGGCCAGTGCTGTGGCATAGTGAATTAAAGCTCTGGCCTGAAGTACCAGCATCCCATATGGGCACCGGTTTGAGTCCCGGCTGCTCCACTTCTGATCCAGCTCTCTGCTAATGTGCCCGGGAAAGCAGCAGAGGACAGCTTATATCCTTGGGCCCCTGCACCTTTGTAGGAGACCCAGAAGAAACTCCTAGCTCCCGGCTTTGGGTCAGTTCAGCTCCAGCCATTGCAGCCACTTGGAGTGTGAACGAGCAGATGGAAAACCCCTCTTTCTCTCTGTCTCTCTCTCTCTCTACCTCTCTCTCTTTAACTTTCAAATAAAAAAAAATTTAGAAAAAGGGTAAGAGTGCAGCAACCTGAAAATGAGTCCTAATATTTGTCTCCCGGCCCCATAGAGTGGGAAGGAAGCTTGTCACTAATGGGCCACAGACCCATGTAGCAGTTATTTCGTTGAAAGAGAGAGAGGCCTCCCATCTGTTGGTTCATTCTCCAAAGGCCCACACCACGATGGGCCAGGCTGAGGAGGAGCTGGGACTCAGTCCAGCTCTCCCATATGGGCAACAGAGCCCCGTCTGGGCCATCGCCATTGCCTCCCAGGGCTGCAATAGCAGGAATCTGGAATTGAAAGCAAAGCCAGGACTTGAACCCAGGCACTCTGCTAGGAGATGAGAGTACCGGCTGCCAGTCCCTCATGTTAATTTTACCTATATGACAAAATTCAGGTTGTATGTCAAGTCAGCAGGTGCCCATTCACCTGAATTGGGTAAACCAAAGGCAGGAATTGTATTTTAATTTAATAATGAGTAAAATGTAAAGTTCTTAGGAAATGGAAGGACTTAGGAAGGATTAGAATGACTGACACAAAAAGACACTATCCAGACTCTCTTTCTCTCTAAACCAGTATGTTGTTTGTTTATGGCAGTTTCTCTCTCTTTAAAGCCACATTCTCTTCAAACTCATTTCCTATGAATAATTGAAGAGAAGGAAAAATGTGGCCTCCCGTAGTTGCAGGGTTTGCAGTTCATGGCTCTGTGAACATGAAAGTTTCCATTCTAAATTCTAAGGAGGAGGACATTTCATTCTCTCTGAACAGGTCCATCTTGTTTTGGTTAGTGGAGCAAATAACACTGCAAGAAAAATGGGAACCTGGCATTGCTATTGTGGGCCAGGCTGGAGGCCACCATTTACAGGAGGGCTCAGCACTGCTTAGTCTGTCTTAGTTTGTTCCACCCACTGTGACGGGATGCCATAAACTGGGGGCTTCTAGACAACAGAAATTTATTTCTAGGGTTTTGATCTCAGAAGTGTGAGGTTGGGGGCCAGCCGGGCAGGCTCTGGCTAGGGCCCTCCTCGGGATTGCAGCCTGCCAGCTTCCTGTATCTTCACATGGTAGGCAGAATGCTAGAAAACCCTCCGGGGGTCCCTCTTCCTGCAAAATTGCATTTGTTTATTTGAGGGAGAGGGAGAGAGAAAGAGAGAGAGAGAGAAACACAAAGTTTACTTCCTCAGTGGCTGGAGTCAAGCCAGTCTGATGCTGGGAGTGGGAACTCCATCTGGGTCTGCCGCGTGGTCCTAGGGACCCTGTCGCTTGAGCCATCACTGCTGTCTCCCAGGATCTGACTTGGCAGGAAGCTGGAGTCAGGAGTTGGAGCCTGAATCCAACCCAGGGATCCTTGATGTGCAGTGCGGGCATCTTCACTGCTAGGCTCAGTCTCTTTTATAAGGGAATAGAAGTCATGAATCCCATTGGAGAGGGCTCCATCCTCAAGGCCTACTCCCAAAGGCCACACCTCCAATCTCATTTGGGGTTAGAATTTCTACATGTATGTTAGAGGGCACGCTCAGCCCATGATACTCTGTAGAAAATATTGGAATGGGCTGTCAAATTCTGGGGAGACTTGGAACTGTAGAAAAGGGTGTGTCACGGGCAGGGGTGAGGAACACTGACCTCAGACAGGGCCTGCCCCCTTAGCACAGACCTCTAGGGCGAAGTCTGTATGGGTCATGCCTTCTTCTCCTAGGAAGCTAAGTGCCCAAGGGCAGAAACCCTGGGGCTGTAATGGCATTGAGAGATGGGCCTTGCTGGCCAGATTCAGTATCTGGAGGCAGATACACCAACATGGCAAGCAAGATGCCCTACCCAGGGATTTTGGAGCAGCTGAAAAGACGTCACACAGAGACATGGCAAGAACATCAGTTGACGCTTCCTAGAGAGTTCTGACAGGCACATCAGCAACTGGGGCTGTCGGGGTCCTGCACTTCCAGCTCACAGAGCAAAGGCGGCACTGTCGGACTCCGGTAATCAACGACCCCCGCTAACAAGCCAGTTTAGGCGGCTGGGCCCTCAGCCGCGTGGGCCTGGCCCCAGGGAAGGGGTGGTAGCGATGTCAGCTGGGGGTCTGCCCACATGCAGCTGGCTTCTATCAGAGCAGATGAGCTGTGAGTGGAAGTCCTGCCACCTGCTGCAGACTTTGGCCAAGCCTTTAAATTCAGAGCAATGCACAGAGTAGGGAGGAGGCTGGCCGCAGGCTCAGGGCCCGTGAGATGGCGGTCCAGTTGCCCCACTTGCCGATGGCTCGGATCTTCTCTTTCCTGGATGGGTTCAGCTTGCTCCAGGCTTCCCAAGTGAACAAGGTCAAGGCTCGCCACCCTCCGCTGCTTCGAGCTGACGAGCTGCCTGCCCACACCCTTCCACCTTGTCGGTTCTTGCACAGGCTTACATCTCTCACCCCCAGCCGTGAAACCTTGGCTCCCCGGCATTGTCCTGCACAGCCTTCCTTCATTCCCCAAGTTTCCCTTGTTCCGCCTCTGATAGGCCAGGGGCCTTAGGGCTCAGTTGCTTCTTTGACCATTTTGAGTCCCAGTCTACAGACGGGCTGAGGAGCACACCGAGGGTTTGGGGGTTAGCTTCATTGGCTCTGAGGGCCCCAAGCGTGGAATGGAATGTTAGCAACCATAGCTCCCTGCTTCTCCCCACACTGGGAGGGCTTGGAGCTGCGAGAGCCCAGTTTCCAGAACAGGTGGCAGCAGAGGCGAGGGCAGCTTCCAGGTACTGATAGCTCGCTTCTCTTGCTTTCTCTCCCATAGCACTGGCGAATGGTTGCAAACAGTGATCACCTGTGGAAGTGAGTAAGGGAGGGGGAGGGGAAGGTGGGAAGCAGGGAGGAGGCTGCACCTGTGTGTGCCGCCATGCTGGGAGAGAGACACAGGCAGGTTAGCATGAGGCGGGTGTTCCCGCAAAGGCACAGCAGCTCGGGGCCCGGGACCGAGCACAGGCAGCCTGACTGGGTGACCCCTGTTTGCAGAACGCTGTGTGTGAGGAGGTGGCACTTGTGCAAATGTGACTGCGAGTGGCTGGGTTCTCAGCCGTGGAAGCAGGTCTTCCTCCAGATGAACAGGCGGGAACGACGGATGGCGCACGCACGGCCAGAGGACTTCGTCTGCAAAGAAGTCACTGGGAATGTGGGTAAGGGAACGGGGGCCTAGCGGGACGTCAGAAACGGGCTTTCTGAAGTCTTCGTCCTGTACGTCTTCGTCCTGTACGCAGTCTTGTGTTCTCATTTGGTGGAGGGAAAAGGGAATTGAAATGTTACGGGACCAGGTGGCTGTGACACCCTCCCTGCCCCGTCTCTATCCCCTCCAGTCTGTGCTGAAGGGAGAGGCCAGAGTGGGCTTGGGATCATTTGAATTTTTTTTTTTTTAAAGATGCACTCATTTATTTGAAAGGCAAAGAGAAGTCTTCGATCCACTAGTTCACTCTCCAAATGGCCGCAACAGCCAGGGTTGGGCCAGGCCTATGCCAGGAGCCTGGAGCTTCATCCGGGTCTCTCACTGGGGCCACGTTCCACTGCTTTCCTGGGTGCTTTAGCAGGGAGCTGGCTCGGAAATGAAGCAGTCGGAACTTGAACCAATGCTCTGATAACGGGATGCCAGCATTACAAGTGTGCAGCGTCACAATGCTGGCCCCTGAAAATTAAAGAGGTAAAATGAGTTGGCCAATCTCTCCCGAAAAGCCAATCTGCAATGGGAATTGTTTGGCCCAACTCAAGTCCAATTTCCACTCTTTCCACACTTGTTCCCCAGGCCCTCTTTGAAAGGTGCAGAGGATATTAAAATACTTTGACTTGGTTTGGATTGCCAGGTACCTGCTGGCCAGATGTTGTCTGTGTATCCTTTCAGGAATCCTGGGACCTATAGCTTATCTCACAAGAAATGACCTCACAACAGACAGACCCTCACGACCCATCGTCTGCGCTGTGTCTTCGTTTGACAAACTTTATGCCTGGGATGTCCAAAAGGTGAGCCTGGCCTACAAGCAGCAAAAGAAATGCCTTCCTCTGCCTGCGTGAATCCTGTGGCCGAGAGCAAAGCGCTCCTCAGAACTGGTGTCAGACAGTTTCAAATCAGGTTTGGTAACTCGGAATCTGTCGTTTAGAACATAGTCAGAGCATGTGTTTATATCTTCATTTTTTGTTTTATTTGAAAGTCTGAGTTACACAGAGAGAGAGAGGTCTTCCATCCATTGGTTCACTCCCCAATCGGCCGCAACGGCCAGAGTTGTGCCGATCCGAAGCCAGGAGACAGGAGCTGCTTCCTGGTCTCCCACGCAGGCACAGAGGCCCAAGCTCTTGGGCCATCTTCCACTGCTTTCCCTGGCCATAGCAGAGAGCTGGATCAGAAGTGGAGCAGCCTGGTCTCGAAGTGGCACCCATATGGAATGCCAGCGCCTCAGGCCAGGGCATTACCCGCTGTACCACAGCGCTGGGCCCTATATCTTTATTTTTGTTATAGGAGTAGGCATTTCTATGTAGAAGCCTGTACAACAATTGCTTTTCTACCAGTAACACCAAGTGCCTTAGCAGAATAAACAAGCTTTTGGCATTGTGTGACTTCCTTACCCATTTCTGCCTCTCGGTCAGTGATGTGTGTTGGCTGTGCTGACTTTCCCAGAAAGTACTCGAATGCAGATGGCCTCTCAGGGGCACAGAGATCTCAGGATGAGCGCGTGGAGTACAGGGAGCACTGGGATGGAGTTGGAAGACTCCAGCATGGGGACCACATGGTGCTATTTTCTTGGCTTTCCCTGTTGTGAGTTCTCTCTCCCTCCTGGTGAAAACTGGGCACTGGCTGTACCTTAGGGTCTTCAGATAAATGCCCTTTCATGAACATAGGACGTGGTAGGGAATGAGTTGCCAATCTAGACTCCACTAAGGTTCTTAGGAGACCAGAAAGGTCTAATGACAAGGCAAGAAGGCTACCAGCCTGGATTTAAAGGGGAGGAGGCATCACAAAAGGAAAAGAAGACTTCGGATCATAAAACTGTCAGTCAGGAAGCAGATGAGAAAACTGCTCAGCTGCAGGACTGGCCCACCATCTAGGGGAAGGGAGGGGTGACTTGGGACAGGATGAAGAGCCGGGAGAGTGGAGCCAAGAGTCCCGAAGAATCTTCCTTAGATATTGAATCCTAATCAATAAACTACCAGCAATTTTTCTTCTGTTGGATTTAAAATTTCCTGTGTATCAACGATACACAGGTGCTTCTCACCCACCCCGTCTTCTCCTTGTTTTGGGTGACAATGGCTGTCCTATGCTATGCCTACTCCACCCTCATATTTTGGAGATTTAGGGGACAGATGGCTTCTATATTGCAAAGGTTTTATTTATTTTTTTAAAGATTTATTTATTTACTTGAAGAATTACACAGAGAAGGAGAGGCGGAGAGAGGTCTTCCATCCGCTGGTGCATTCCCCAGATGGCCCCAACAGCTGGAGCTGTTCAGATTCGAAGCCGGGGACTTCTTCCCGGTCTCCCACGCAGGTGCAGGGGCCTAAGGACTTGGGCCATCTTCTGCCATAAGAGAGCTGGATCAAAACTGGAGCAGCTGAGACTCAAACCGGCGCCCATATGGGATGCTGGTGCTGCAGCTGGTGGCTTTACCCGTTACACCACAGCGCTGGCCCCATATCGCCATGAAGCCAATCCAAAAGCTTGTCGGTTTGTTACATAGCAAGGGATTAACACTGCAACAGATGACTTGGGTAGTGCTAAAAATTAAAATAGTGATTACATTTGAGAGTGATGGAAAAGTTTCTAAATATATCAAATGCAAGGAGATTTTGTGAAACCCTAGAAGTATTTACGTTGATACTTAGTAATTTATCAGACTTGACAATTTTTATGATACATTAAAATCCTTTAGTTTTTTGCACATGGGATAATCTTTTCAGCAGGCAAAAGAAAAATGGATTTTTACATTAATTTTTTTAAGGGCAAAGAAAAGTCTAGAAGGTAAACATTTTCCTGTCTTGTTTGCAAAGTACATGGTTGGTGGTGGAATAACAATTTTCATGGTAGATGATACTTTTTTAAAGATTATATTTTTAAGATTTAATTCATTTAGCCAGCGCCGTGGCTCACTAGGCTAATCCTCTGCTTGCGGTGCCAGCACCCCGGGTTCTAGTCTGGGCTGGGGTGCCAGATTCTGTCTCGGTTGCCCCTCTTCCAGGCCAGCTCTCTGCTGTGGCCCGGGAGTACAGTGGAGGATGGCCCAGGTGCTTGGGCCCTGCACCACACACGTGGGAGACTGGGAGGAAGCACCTGGCTCCTGGCTTTGGATTGGCGCAGAGTCGGCCGTAGTGGCCATTTGGGGGGTGAACCAATGGAAAAAGGAAGACCTTTCTCTCTATCTCTCAGTAACTCTGCTTGTCAAAAAAGGGGGAAAAAAGGTTTTATTTAAAAGACAGAGTTACAGAGCGAGGTAGAGACAGAGAAAGGTCCTCCATCATTGGTTCACTCCCCCAGATGGCCTCAACAGCCGGAGCTGGGCTGATCTGAAGCCAGGAGCCAGCAGCTTCCTCCAGGTCTCCCATGCAGGTGCAGGGGCCCAAGGACTTGAGCTATCTCCCACTGCTATCCCAGGTCATAGTAGAGGGAAGAGCAGCAGCCGGTACTAGAACCGATGCCCATATGGGATGCCAGTGCTTCAGGCCAGGGCTTTAACCTGCTGCGCCACAGAGCCGGCCCCAAGATTTACTTATTTGAAAGAGTTATAGAAAGAGGCAGAGACAGAGGTCTTCCATCCTCTGGTTCACTTCCCAGATGACTGCAATGGCTGGAACTGAGGTATTCAGGAACTAGGAGCTTTTTCTAGGTCTCCCACGGGGAGTCAGAGCAAAGGACTTGGGCCATCTTCCACTCCTTTTCCAGGCCATAGCAGAGAGCTGGATTGGAAGTGGAGCAGCTGGAACTGCTGTGTCATTTACTGGGAAGTGTACTAACAGTCCCATAAGAATCTATGATTGTGACTTGCTGAGTGTTTCGTGATTAAGAGACAGAACTGGTGTGAGCTCAGTGAGTCTGATAGCTTCTTGAGGGGCTACTGGGTCTCCGTGTACTGCCTAAGTTTTGTCTTCATGGTCACTCCTACTGAAGATTTTCACATCCTTTTCCCAGAAGCAGGAGGGGGATCTGATTTGGAAGAGGTTTCCAGGTAACATGGGCAGAATAAAAGCACAAGTGATGTGAAGAGTTGCTGACCACAGATGGTGTCCCTCTTGTTCTCTAGGGCGACATCTTCTGGTCCAGTCCAGTCCAGGACTCAAGTATCACGAATCTGGTGACCCTGCCGGATCTGTGTGTGGCAGTCACTATGGATATGGAGAGAACTATCAAAGTGTGGGACTGTCTCCGTGAGGATGCTCTGAGTGAATTCTTTATGCCTTACGACTGCTTCTCCTTGATAGCCTTTCTCTCCGCGCGTGGCCCAGTACTCATGGTAAGTGGGCCTGCGTCTGGATGGGGCTCACGAATGCGATGCCTGCTGCCTTCACAGGTGTCAAGGTCCAGTTGCTGTCACATCCCAGTCTGCCTCTCTACGGTCATCCCTTCCACATTCTCTGAGAGTCAGTCACAACATACTGATGGTTACTGGTTGTATGGACCTCTGTGCCATCAGGTACATTTAGCCAGCCCTCCTCCTTAAAGAAGCTGTCTGATCTGTTTCATAGCCCTGTCTTTCAGGTGTGTATTATCATACTGTCCATGAACTTAAATGGGAACAGTGGAGAAAGATTTGCATCTGGACAGAGACTGATAAAGGATAGAGTAGACGTGCTAATGAATCGCTACCCTAGAGAAGAGTGCGCAGGGCTCAGAAAGGTCTTTTGCAACCACTCTGCTAGGCTGGCTGGTTGGGAGGGTTGATTGCAGCCGTTGTGGCTGGCCCTGTAGTCAGCGGCACTGTCGAAAGGAGTCCTAAGGTACACATATCTCCTTCTGTTGATACGTTGTTAATGTTTTGGTTTCAGGTGGGAGATTCTACAGGTGACATCTACACATTTAAGATGCCTAGCTTGACAGAAATTTCTAGAACAAAAGCTTTTCAATTCAGTGTTGATATTCTACGCTGCTCTCCGTGTGGGAAGTGGGTCTTTGTGTGTGGGACACAACAATGTTCCTTCCCGAAGGTAGGTGCTGCTCAGAGTTCCAACCTCAGGAAGGGAGAGAGAAGCCCGAGGAAGGCCCAGTTAGGAGGTATCCGTGATGACAGTCGTACCAGTGTCAGCTCCCAGAGGGTATAGCACAATGGAATCTTCTCCTGAAGTCAGGAACAATGCAAAGAGAATTAAAAATGTCCAGTTGCAATGGCAAATGTTTATTAATGAAAAGTTGTTCATGAAACTTGAAAAGAGGGAGTAAGGTGAGAGTTTTTGGGAACTGTATTCACTTTTGCTTTATTCTCTGCTTCGATCTACTTTGGCTGGAAATTCCAAGGGCTCTTCAAAAACAACCCCTATGGAAAATGTGTATTAGGAAAGAATAATGCACAGATTTCAAAAGTCTGTTGCACAAAATAAACTCGCCTTCTAACTTCATTTTCATGAACTTTTGGAAGGACCCTTGTACAGAGAGGATCAACAGCAAATAACTAGGCCTGCGCTCAAGTGTCACTCTGAGGAGTCCTTGACCTTGAAGCAGGCACCAGAGAACGAGGAGCTCTGAGGAGAGGTCGGGAGAGCACAGGGAGGGAGCCCCTCCTGGAGCAGGGCCCGATACGACAAGATGATCTTGCACCATCTTGGTATGCCTAGGGACTCTGTTCTCTCTGAAGGTGACAGTGAGTGCCTCAGACCATAGAGTGACAGGTGCTGACTGCCCGACCCTTCCTGAGAAGCCCTGGCCCCAATGTGGGGGTTGGGGGTGGGGGCAACGCTTGATCGTAGCCAAAAGGCTGTCAGGCAGCGATGAGCGTGCTTAATGGGTCTGTTGTGCGGTCTCTCCTTCACCCGTGACGCACGCAGCTCTCTCTCCTTAGGTCTTTCTTACAGAGTGCTTATTGAAGCCACCGGACAGCACTCCTCTGTCTTTCTCTCTCCCATTTTTATCATGCCTTGGGGCCAGCTGGACCCCAAGAAGGGAAAATAGGATAACGCTGATGTTCCGAAGAGATTCAAAAAAGATGGGATTTATGACCTTCGACCTGACAACTCAGAAGACTGAGGACAAAACTGTCATCGGAGGTAGGCTCCGCCACAGAAGCACCTGTGGTCTTCCCTGCCTGTATACTGTCAGCCTATGCGAATCTGAGCAAGGGGGCAGCGCTCAGCCTGACTGCTCCCTTCCAGCCCCCTCTACAGGGAGGCGTGTGTAGACTTCTGTTTTGTCTTACTGCCTGGGTTTCAGTGCCCCTTCTTACTACAGGCCACCTCCTCAACACCGAGCTATTACCTTTGTCCACAGCCTGTGCCCCTGTGTTGTCGGACCCATCACCACGGTCAGGCCACAGGCCTGAAATCCCATGGAAGGAGGGAGAATGAGTCACAGTGTGCCTGCCTGCCTGCTTGTGGAAGATGGAGTTCAGAGATGACCCCTCCACATGTTGAAGATTGCTCACATTTGTGTTATGTATGCAAACAGCACAGCAGATCGCCAATTTCCTGCTGCCAGATCACATAGAGAACCCCAGCTGGATGGGAGTCAACGAGGCCGACATGATTGTCTTTGGCAGTGGGCCGTACCTGTTCCTCTTCACCATCGGCGGCCTCCTGCTGCGACAACTGGAGGACCACCAGACAGCCATCAGGAGCCTATGGGTGGTGTGTATCGTCTTCTCCCACTGATCGTAACATTCATCTTTTTATAAAAAGGAATAGTTGTCTTAAAATATTTACTTGCAAGTCGGAGTTACAGAGAGGGAGAGACAGAGAGCAAGCTTCTGTCCACTGGTTCACTCCCCAGATGGCTGCGATGCCCAGAGCTGGACCAGGCTGAAGCCAGGAGTCGGGAGCTTCATCCAGGTCTCTCACATGGGTGGCAGAGGCCCAAGAACCTGGGCCATCTTCCACGGTTGGCCCAGGCTAACAGCAGGGAGCTGGATCAGAAGTAGAGCAGCTGGAGCCCAAAGCAGAGCCCGTATTGTATGCCGGTGTCACAGGAAGCGGCTTTACTCACCATGCCACAACACTGGTCCCTGTTGCTTTGAAAAGCAGAGAGGTCTCATCCACTGGTTGACTCCTCAGGCGCTCAGAACAGCTGGGGCAGCCCAGGCCAAGTGAACTGGGAACAGTCCAGGTCTCGCACGTGGGCGGCAGGTATCCAGCTACTGGAGCCATCACTGCTGCCTCCCAGGGTGCTCATCAGCAGGAAGCCGGAGTCGGAAGTGGAGGAACTCCCGAGCGGGATGGGGGTATCTTACCTGCTAGGCCAGCCCCCACTCCCCCAACCCCCACTTCCCTATTTGATTTTGACCCTCTGCCCTCTCACAACCCCCACCCCGGTGTCCTTGAAGGATCCTATCCGCGTCCTCAGCACAGCCACGGATGGTTCTCTGCACGTGTACGTGTGGGAAGAGGGAGGCCGTTACCCGTACCTCAGGAGCTGCTGCCACCTGAAGCATGAGGAGACAGAGCAGACGCTGGGCTGGTAAGCCTTGCCCCTGCCTTGAACAGTCCCGAGCACTGGTGATGTCTACAACAAGTGCCTAGAGAGGCAGTACGGCTCTTTTTGAGATTGAGGGTAAATAGGAATAAACCTAGGCCCGAGGAGAGCGTTGCTAGTTCTTGAGGTATACAGAACTTGCAGTAAAGGTCAAACGCTTTTCCAAGCGTCTCTCGCATACAGGGTCGTGCATGGGACTAGGAGGCCCCCTCCTGCTGTGCTTCTGGTTGGCTTGTGCCCCATGTGTCCATGCGCTGGAAGCTCAGTGCCCAGTGTGGCAGTGGTGGAACCTTGAAGGGGCGAGGTCCAGTGGAGGTGATTGGTCACTGGTCTCTACCCTAATGAATGGATCAGCAGCGTGGGCTGAGTCGTGCAGGAGTGAGTGTCTGTTCCAGGGAGTTGTTGTATAGGATCAGTGCCTGCCTAGCCTCCTGTTTTCTTTCTCTCTCATGTTCTCTTTCCACCAATCAGCTGCCATCCATTAGTTCACTCCCCAGATGTCTGCTAGGGCTGGGCCAGACCCAAGCGGGAGCCTAGAGCTCAACCTGGATTTCCTACTTGGGTGGCAGGGACAGCTCTTCTAAGGGAGATCTTGAAGTATCTGTCTCTGGCTTATTGTCACTTAATGTCCTCAGGTTTATGCACACTGTTGCAGATAACAAGGTTTCCTTTTTTGAAGGCTGAATGGTATTCTGTTGTGTGTATGTGCCATGTTTTCTAAATCTGTTTTCCTGTTGGTGGACACTTAAGGTTGGTTCTGTATCTTGGGTATTGTGAATAATGATATAAGAACATGGGAATAGGGCCGGCGCCGCAGCTCACCAGGCTAATCCTCCGCCTTGCAGCGCCGGCACACCGGGTTCTAGTCCCGGTCGGGGCACCGGATTCTGTCCCGGTTGCCCTTCTTCCAGGCCAGCTCTCTGCTGTGGCCCAGGAGTGCAGTGGAGGATGGCCCAAGTCCTTGGGCCCTGCACCCCATGGGAGACCAGGAGAAGCATCTGGCTCCTGCCATCGGATCTGCGCAGTGCGCCGGCCGCAGCGGCCATTGGAGGGTGAACCAACGGCAAAGGAAGACCTTTCTCTCTGTCTCTCTCTCTCACTGTCCACTCTGTCCAAAAAAAAAGGAGTACAGATATCTACAGATATCTCTTTGACATACTGATATTCCATAGCCAAAGGAATTGAGAGGTGGGGTTGCTATATCATATTTCGATCTGTAGTTTAAGGAACTTCCATTACATAATAGCTGTATCATCCAACCAAAGTGTACAAGCATTCCCTTTTGTCCAGATCCTCACCCACTTGTTACTGCTAGGATTTTTTAGTATCTTGTTATGGTTTTAATTTGCATTTCCCTAGTGATTTTTATTGATTTTTTTTCCTATATCTGTTGGATATTTGTATGTCTTTGGAAAAATATTCAGGTCCCTCATCAACTTTTTTTTTAAATTGAGTTGTTTGCTATTAAGTTCCCCATATATCTTGTGTACTAACCCATTCTCAGATGTAGGATTTGCGAGTGTTTTCTCCTAATCTGTGGGTCATCTTTACTGATTGTGTACTTGGGTGTATAGTTTTCTTAGCTTGATAGGCTCTCACTTATCTATTTTTGTTGCCTGTGCTTTTTGGGTCAGGCCCAAAAAAATCATTGTCGGTCAGTGTTTGTGGAGGTTTGCCCCTTTTTTCTAGTAGTTCAGTTTCAGGTCTTAGACTGAGTCTTTAATTCACTTGGAGTTCACTTTTGTGTATGGTATAAGGTAAGGGTCCGCTTCTGTTTTTAATATCAGGTTTCACCAACACTATTGAAGAGACTGTTATTTCCCCATTGTATGTTCTTGACACCTTTGTGGTAAACCAGTTGACTAAAAATCTATGGGTTTACTTCTACACTATTCTATTCCATTGGTTGATTTGTCCATTGTTGATTTGTTATGCCAGTAACATGCTATTTGATTATTGTAGCTTGGTAAGATATTTTGAAAACTGGTATTGTGTTGCTCTCAGCTTTGTTCTTTTCTTTCAAGATTTTTAGGACTATTTCGGATCTTTGGTGGCTGCATACTAAATTTTTTTTTTTTTTTGACAGGCAGAGTGGACAGTGAGAGAGAGAAACAGAGAGAAAGGTCTTCCTTTTGCCGTTGGTTCACCCTCCAATGGCCGCCGCGGCCGGTGCACCGCGCTGATCCGGTGGCAGGAGCCAGGTGCTTTTCCTGGTCTCCCATGGGGTGCAGGGCCCAAGCACCTGGGCCATCCTCCACTGCACTCCCTGGCCACAGCAGAGGGCTGGCCTGGAAGAGGGGCCACCGGGACAGAATCCGGCGCCCCGACCGGGACTAGAACCCGGTGTGCCGGCGCCGCTAGGCGGAGGATTAGCCTAGTGAGCCGCGGCGCCGGCCATGCATACTAAATTTTTAGAGTGGTTCTCTATTACAGTGAAAAATGGCATTAAATTTTTTTAAAGATTTATTTATTTGAAACTCAGAGTTAGGAGAGGAGGCAGAGAGGGGAGAGAAGGAGAGGTCTTTCATCCACTGATTCACTCCCCAGTTGGCAGCAATGGCTAGAGCTGAGCCAATCCAAAGCCAGGGGGCTCTTTCTGGTCTCCCACTTGAATGGGAACCCATAGGATCCTGGCACTGCAGTCAGGGGCTTAATCTATGCCACAACACTGGGCTCTACATGTTATATTTTCTATCTTTACTTCCAACCTACTTAGTAAATTTGAAGAAGTTTTTGTTTTGCAGTTGATTGAAGTGAGTTTCTTTTAGACAGAATGTAGTTGGCTCATGATTTTTATCCACCATGCCAATCTGTTTATATATATATAATACATAGTATATATACTATATATAATACTATATATTATACATTTATAATTATGAATGTATAATAGTATTATGGAATGTTCAAATCAGATTAACATTCATCAATTGAAATAAATATTCTGACCGTGAAGATATATAAAATTCCTTTAGCTATTTTGAAATGTAGCACATGCTATTTTTTAAAGATTTATTTGAAAAGCAGAGATAGAGATCAATCTTGGTTCACTCCCCAAATGGCCACCAACAGTTGGGGCTGGGCCAGCCTGGAAGCCAGGAGCCAGAAGCTTTTTCCGGGTCTCCCACATGGGTATAGGGGCCCCAGGACTTGGGCCATCTTCCATTGCTTTCCCAGGCACATGAGCAGGGAGCTGGATTGGAAGTGGAGCAGCCAGGACTCAAACCAGTGCCCACATAGGATACCGGCACTGCAGGCTGGGGCTTTAACCTGTACGCCACAGCGCCAGCCCCACCATCCTCTAGGCTCGTCCATGTTCTCTCAAAGAACAGAACGTCCTGTTTAAAGCCTGAATAGTGTTGCACTGTGTCTGAAGATCCACTTATCCACTGATAGGTTTATTTCGTATCTTTGCTACCATGAATAATGCTGAAGTGAATATAGGAATGTAGATATCTTCTTGGCATACTGACCTCAATTCCATTGGTTGTGTATCTAGATCATATGGTAATTTTTTAAAAATTTTATTTCAAAGACTGATATCTTCCATCTGCTGGCTCATTCCCTAAATAGCTGTAACAGTCAGGGCTGTGCCAGACCGAAGCCAGGAGCTTCATTCCTGTCTCCCACGTGGGTGCAGGGGCCCAGGTACTTGCACAGTCTACTGCTGCTTTCCCAGGTGCATTAGTAGGGAGCTGGATTGGAAGTGGAGCAGCCAGGACTCGAACCGGCACCCATATGGAAGGCTAGCATCGTCGGACGTGGCTTCACCCATTATATCACGATGCCAGACACTATTTTGAGTTTCGGAGGAGCCTCCATGCTATCTTCAAAGTGACTGAATTAACTTACAATACTATCAACCATAAAGAAGGGGCCGGCACTGTGGCATAGCAGGTAAAAGTGACCAGCTGCAGTGCCCGCATCCCATATGGGCACCGGTTGGAGACCCAGCTGCTGCACTTCCAAACCAGCTCTCTGCTCTGGCCTGAGAAAGCAGTGTAAGATGGTCCAAGTCCTTGGGCCCCTGCACCTGTGTGGGAGACCAGGAAGAAGCTCCTGGCTCCTGGCTTCAGATCAGCGCAGCTCCAGCCATTGTGCCCAATTAGGGAGTGAACCAGCTGATGAAAGACCTCTCTCTCTCTCTCTGCCTCTAACTCTGCCTTTCAAGTAAAATAAATCTTTAAAAAATGAACAAATTTTCCCCCTTTCTCATATCCTCACCAATACTTGTAATCTTCATTTTACAAAAAAATTGATGTGTGGGAGAAAGAGCACCTGTCTACTGGCTGACTCCCCAAATGCCTGCTGGGGCTGGGCCAAGCCAAAGCCAGGAGCTCAATCAGGTCTCCCACGTGGGTGACAGGGACCTAACCCCTTGAGCCATCACCTGCAGCCTCTGAAGGTGCGCATTGGCAGGAAGCTGGATTAGCAGAGGAGCCAGGACGTACAGGAGGCACTCCAGTATGAGACGCAGGTGTCCCGCATGGTCAAATGCCTACCAGTCTGATCATTTTGCTCTGAGGTGGATATCTCACAGTCGTTGGTTTAATTTGAAAGGCAGAGAGTGAGCTCCCATCTGATAGTTCAGTCTCCAAATACATGCAGTGGCAGGAGCTGGGCCAGCGGAAAGATGAGATCAGGAAGCTTCATCCAGGGTCTCTCTCCAGTGGCAGCCCCAAGGCTAGGAATTAAACCCAGTACTTGGATAGGGGACAGGGGTGTCCTAACCACTAGGCTCAATGCCTGCCTCGCATTGTGGTTTTACTCATTTCTCTGCTGTGTGATGTTGAGCATTTTTTTGAAACATCAAGTGGCCATTTTTATTTCTTCTTGAGAAGTATCTATTCAGGTCATTTGCTCATTTTTTCTTAGTGATTTGTTGTGAGTTCCTTGTGTATTTTAAATATTGCCCTTAGCTGATGTATGGTTTAGATCTTCTCCCAGGCTGAGGCTTGTCTCTTCACTCGGCTGTTTGCTTTGATACGAAGAAATTCCTTAGTTTGATACAATCCTATTTGTCTATTTTTGCTTTCGTGTCCTGTGACTTCAGAATCTGGGAGGTGACTGGCAGACAAACGTCTGGGCGCTTTCCCCCTGTGTTTTATTCTAGTGGCTCTAGAGTTTCAGGCCTCAAGTGTAAGTCTTCAACCACTTTTGAGTTGTCTGATGTAAGGAGTGAGAAAAGGGTCTATTTTCATTCTTTTGCATGTGGACATCCAGTCTTCCCAAGACTATTTATTGAAGACTTTATCCTTTCTCCTTTGTATATTCTTGGCCACTTCCTATCCTATTCCATTGGGCAATATGTCTGTTTTATGCCAATATAGTGTGTTTTGGTTTTTTTTTTTATATTTATTATTTGAAAGTCAGGGTTAAAAAGAGTAGAGGCAGAGAAAGAGGTCTTCGATCTGCTGGTTCACTCCCCAGTTGGCCACAATGCTGGAGTGTGCCGATCGGAAGCCAGGAGACTGTTCCGGGTCTTCCAAGTGGATGCAGGGTCCCAGGGACTTAGGCCATCTTCTACTGCTTTCCCAGGCCATAACAGAGCTGGATCAGAAGTAGAGCAGCCGAGACTCGAACTGGTGCCTCTATGGGATGCCGGCACTGCAGGCAGCAGCTTTACCCACTATGCCACAGCGCCGGCCCCAATATACTGGTGTTTTGTTGACTATAATTTTAAAATATATTTTGAAATCTAGTAATGTGATGCTTCTTCTAGCTTTGTTTTGCTCAAGATGGCTTTGCTACTTCGAATCTTTCTATTGATTCAGCATTTGAAAAATGTGCCACTTCTTTATGGCTTCCACAGTGTCTGATTAAAATCCATTGTCCAGGGGCTGGCGCCATGGCTCACTTGGTTAATCCTCTGCCTGCGGCACCTGCATCCCATATGGGTGCCAGGTTCTAGTCCCGGTTGCTCCTCTTCCAGTCCAGCTCTCTGCTGTGGCCTGGGGAGACAGTGGAGGATGGCCCAAGTGCTTGGGCCCTGCACCCACATGGGAGACCACGAGGAAGCACTTGGCTCCTGGCTCCGTAGCAGCCATTTGGGGAGTGAACCAACAGAAGGAAGACCTTTCTGTGTCTCACTATCTATAACTCTACCTGTCAAATTAAAAAAAAAAAAAATCCATTGTCATTCAAACCTGTTCCTTTATAGAGAATGTGTCATTTTCTCTGGTTTCAATTTATTTAATCTTTGGTTTTTGGAACTCCTAGGTCTGGTTTGAACTAGAGTTTAACCTGTTCAGCCCTAGAAAGGTGGCATCTGCAGATCTACCAATTCAGAAAGCTTCCAGCTATCCCTCGCCTCTGCCTTGCCTGATGGGGCGAGGGGACACCACACCCACTCATCTGTAGTGCAGGGGAAAACAAGGTCCGTGGGCTTCCTCTCGGTGCTCACAGGGGAGAGGGGTGCCACATCTGCTCGGGTTAACGCAGGCAGATATGGTCAACTGTGCCCTGCCCTGTGCCCCCTGGTCCGAGTAATCCAGAATGAGGAGGGCCGACAGAACCTGCTCCATCTCCCCCGTGCCCATTGCAGGGGAAATGTGGTTTGATACTCACTTGGAGTAGAGGGTGTATTGTCAACGAGGAGAATTCTACACTAAACTAAGAACCCGCCCCCCATGAGCCAGATAATCTGCCCCATCAGAGATAATCAGGATAATGCTACTGGATCTGTGGATGTATACATTTTTACTTGTTTTTAAAGGCTTACTTATTTGAAAGTGTAACAGAGAAACAGACGGAGATCTTCTACTGGTTCACTCCCCACATGGCTGCAGTGACTAGGCTGGAGCAGGTCAGAGCCAGGAGCCCAGAGCTGCTTCTGGGTCTCCCACATGGGTGCAGAGGCACAGGACTCTGGCCATCCTCTTTTGCTTTGCCAGGTACATAGGCAGGGAGCAGGATCGGAAATGAAGCAGCCGGGATTTCAATTGGTGCCTATGTGGGATGCTGGCATTGCAGACTGGCTTAACCCGCTGCACCACAGAACCAGGCCCATCTACGGAATTTTTACAAACAAAATGTAAGAAGATGGCTACCAGAACAATGTGGGAATAGTATTTAGATTTTTATCAGGTTCCAATTTCATATCAACAGCGGATATGGTGCTGGTGTAGTACCATAGCATGTTAAGCCTCTACCCACAATGCCGGCATCCCATATGGGTGCTGGTTTGAGTCCCAGCTGCTCCACTTCGACTATAACTCCCTGCTACTGGCCTGGGAGAAGCAGCAGAAGGTAGCCCAAGTGCTTGGGACCCTGCACCGCCTTGGGAGACCCAGAAGCTCCTGTCTCCTGGCTTTGGCCTGGCCCACTGTGGCCAATTCAGGAGTGATTCAGTAGATATAGTTCTGTCTCTTCCTCTACCACTGCCTTTCCAATAAAAAAATCTTGAACAAAACGGCAGTGTACCAACTTCCCCTTTGTCCACTGACATTCTTCTCTTTCTCTGTCGGCAGCTATGTCTCCAATGCAATATGTGATAACGTGAGCATAGTACGCGTCCTGTCGAGAATTCGTAACTCCAGCATTCTGGTGATGTACACTTTGAAAGGAAATTAATCTGTACCATCCCCCTTAATATAGTAAAGATGAGTCTATTTGCAAGCCAAGAATGTTTTAGTGATGTAAAGTGGCTATTTAACTTCCTGAAGTGAGTCAGGCACTGTGACAGATTCTTTGGACAGGCCTTATCCAGAGCATGTGTGTAGCAACATAACTTAGTCCTGGCCATCAAGGTGAAGTGCTCGACTCGGCATCCTAGGAAAGTGGCCTTGGAGTGGCATGGAAAAGGTACTCTGGCCAGGCTGTCAAAGTGCCCATCATCCCCTGCTATTGGGGAAAACCTCAAACTATAACCAAGAGCAGAGCGAGCAGCTCCGTGTAAGGATGGTGGAGGGCAGGCTGGGTGGAGCAGACATCCATCAGGCTTTCTAAACAGCACGGGGCGCAGCACAGTTGGTCACGTGTCTGGTCTGTTTCAGAAACAGTCTGTGTGGCTATGTCAGTGAGAGGGGAAGACACGGTGGGATGGCCTGGAGGGTTCAATCCTGCAGACAAGGGCAGGTATTAAACGTAATGTCAAGTAGTTAACATAATCTAAATGCTGTGGTAACACCTGGAGGATTGAGTTTTGTTTTTAAAAAGATTGTCTAAAAAATACTTTTTCCAGATTTATTTATTTGAAAGTCAGTTATAGAGGGGGAGAAGGTGAAAGGGGGATTTTCCATCCTCTGGTTCACTCCCCAGTTGGTCTCAACAGCTGGAGCTCTGCCGATCAGAAGTCAGGAGCTTACTCTGGCTCTTCCCGCACGGATGCAGGGGCCCAAGGATTTGGGCCATCTTCTGCTTTCTGAGACCACAGCAGAGAGCTGGATGGGAAGTGGAGCAACCGGGTCTTGAACCGGTGTCCATATGGGATGCCAGTGCTTTAGGCCAGGGCGTTAACCCGCTGTGCCACAGCACCAGCCCCAACATTTTTTTTCTTAAAGATTTGTTTCTTTGAAAGGCAAAGTTATGGGGCCTTCAGTGTCGGCATCCATATGGGCGCCGGTTCAAGTCCCAGCTGCTCCACCTCTGATCCAGCTCTCTTCTATGGCCTGGGAAAGCAGAAGATGGCCCAGATCCTTGGGAGCCTGCACCTGTGTGGGAGATCCAGAAAAAGCTCCTGGCTTCAGATCGGTGCAACTCCAGTCACTGCAGCCATCTGGGGAGTAAACTAGTAGATGGAAGACCCACCCACCCCCGCTCTGCCTCTGCTTCTCTGTAACCCTGTCTTTGAATCAAATCTTTAAAAACAAACAAGCAGTTAGCATCTTCCATCCACTGGTTCACTCCCCAAATGGCTTCAACATCCAGGTGTGCATATGGGATCCCCGTGTTGGAGTGGCACAACCTGCCGCACCACGGGGATGGCCCCGAGACCAGCGCTTTTATAAGATCCTCCCCATGGCAGTTCGGGAAGTTGAGCCAGTTGAGCTGTTCCGTCATGAGAGACGGCAGGTTCTAAAGGTGACGTGTGGTCACTGGAGACCAAGGAAATGAGAGGAGGAAACACTTGAATCGTGCACAGAGAAAGTCGGTTGCCAAAGGCAACAAAGACATAGGCCCCCAGGAGGCTCAGCGACTGCTGAGTAAAGTGCAGGGGTTAGGGGGAGCCTGGCCAGCGAGATCCTTGGGGGTGGCTCTGCCACGGCAGCCGCAGGCGGGACTCGAAGCTCAGTCTACAGTGGCCAGTTTTTCAGCTGATAAGTGGGTATGGCCTGCGAGTGATGGGGTAAATACCCACATGGTCCTTGGCAAAAAACAGGTTCCCCACCGTGGTAGAAGGGGCTAAAAGCCAACCGCTGTGAGACTTGTTTTCCAGAAACGTGGGCCCACGTGTAGAGAGAACTGTGTACATGGTGCCTCAACACTGTTCAGAAATACAAGCTGAAACCGAGGGAAGTCAACAAGCGCTGAAGTCAGCCCTACTCCTAGAGTTCTAAAGGATGGGGGCTGGAGCTGTAGTGGAGGGCTGAGCCTCCACCTGCTGCAGCAGCATCCCAAATGGGCGCCGGTTCGAGTCATGGCCACTCTGCTTATCAACCAGCTCTCTGCCATAGCCTGGGAAAGTAGAGGAAGATGCCCCAAGTGCTTGGGCCCCTGCACCAGCATGGGGCAACCAGAACGTCCAGGCTCCTGGCTTCGGAACGGCCCAGCTCTGGCCATTGCAGCCATTTGAAGAGTGACCCTGCGGATGGAAGACCCCTCTCCCTGTCTCTCCCTCTTTATAACTCTACCCCTCAAATAAAATTTTTTAAACTTACACAACAGAATGTTAAAGGCTGTGATGGAAGGTGGGGCCTCTCCGAAGTTGGAGACCAGGGACGTGAGACGCCAGACCTCAGAAGAGTCCAATTCCTGGTAGATGCAGTGAGGGGCGGGGAGAGCGCGGCAGCAGGTGCAGCAGAATGGGCTCACCCCACAGGACCCCTAACCCTCATAGTTCTCGGGTGGAGTGGACAGCACAGATCACCCCCATCTCAGTAATTAGAGAAAGGTTTAGTAAATGGACCATTACAATTCAGGGGAGGGTTTTTTGAAAAGATGGATTTGAGATAAGAATCAGAGAAGCCCCAGAAATAAGCCTAGTGTGATCTTAGCTCCTCTTCCTTGGGAAGATCCATCTACTCCATACCGCCATGCCCACCCACTTCTGCCTTGTCCATGCAGACCCAAGCCTGGTCCTGTTGTTCCTTGGGAAGTGAGACTGGTAGGCCCCACCCCATGGAAACTAGTGTGCTCTGTCCCCACCCCCACCGGCAAGGATGGCAACTCTGCTAGCGAGGCAGGCTGCCGGAGAGCGACAGCACGGAGCTGGCACTGTGACAGGGGACAGAGTCCTGCCTTCCGCTCTGCAGTTCCCTGCTACGATGGCCTGAGCTCCAAGCCACTGCTGCTGAGTAGAAGCTGAGAACCGACAAAACCACTAAGGCTATTTCCTTTATGAGAGCACCTCTACCAGATACTACATTAGGGGACAGCTCTGAAAATACATACGGATTAGCCAAATTATTCAGGAGAGCGGCGTCCTCCTCCTCCACCCCGCCCTCACTCCAGGCAAGCTGCTGGGGACACACGGGTACCTGCTGTCCAACTGCAGCAGCCCCTCAGGTGGCTGGTTTGCCCACTACGATTTCAGTTACCATCAATGGTGCATCAGAAATGTAAGATGGAAAATTCCAAAAATAAACCTAAGTTTTAAAGTGTGTGGTGATCCGTGTACCTGGATGACATCTCCACTACTGTCCAGTGCATCAGCCCGCTGGCCGGCATGCCCACGTTTTACCCTACACACCTGTCACTCGGGGTCAGGTCACCAGTCACGGTATCAGAGTGCTTGCATTCAATGCATACTCAGTAAGAGCCCGGAAACACACAAGTAGCAGCAGCAATTTGGATATGCCGGAGAAAAGCCATGAAGGGCTTCTCTAAGAACCTGGAGGTGAGCCTGGGCATGGGAGGAAGAGGCGGGAATATGTCTTGGGCTAGATAGCAGGGAGGGGCAGGTGACAGGGAAGGGACTTGCTGTCTCTACCCCTGGTGCAGCGACAGCTTTCACAGGAGGCCTCTGCTGGGAAGACGGCTCAGGAGAGAGGCGACCAGCGCGGAGCAGGGTCCCCTGTTTGTGAGCTCCAAGTCCACAGCACTTTCCCACCACAAGGCCTGCCCCCGGGGCCACGGACAAGCAGCAGCCTGGGGGTCCACCCACATCTTGGCCTCCTGCGTCTCTGGGGGGGTCCAGGCCCGGCCCCGGCCAAATTCCTCTACCATACGCTGTAGTGAAGGATGTCTCCCGCAGCCCGCGGCCCACTCTCCTCACCCCCCAGCCTCCCACCTGGCCCCAGACCGGACAGTGTACCGCACCTTCTACGGAGCACCAGGGCACAGGGTGTGGAGAGGTCCTGGGCACCCAGTCCTCTCTAGCCCCGTGACCTTGAGCGACACAGCACCTGCCAGGGGCCTCATGGTCAGCAGGTGCTCAGGCTCCACTTCTGCTTGCCACCTGGCCCCACCCTGGAAAAGCCGACCTCTGCCTTTCAGGGCAGTGGCCAGGGGCGGGGCTGTGCAGAGTTCAAGGATGTGAGAGGGAGGAGAGGCCGGGGGTACATTTCTAACCAGTGTCCTCCCTGGGTCCCTCCCCCACGGCCCCTGTGCTCCCCGCTCCTCCCCAGGCCTGAGAACTACTCTGTCCCCACTCCTGGCTGGCATTCCTGATGGCCCTTACTCTATAAGCAGCCCCCTCGGCAGCACCTCTTCTGGGTCCATATTCTCTGTCAGTTACCTGCCAGGAGCCGGACGGATCCACACTTAAACATCTTACTCAATCCTGCCTGGCACAGCTCAGAATCCAACCGTGTGACCCGGGGTGGCTCCTGCCACCTGCTCCCCAACATCTCCACCCTTCTCCCCTGGGGCCCAGACAGCCAGCTGAGGGAACACCAGCCCTCCCAGAGCAAGGCTCCTGCTCTGAGAGGGGTAGTCTGGGGGTAGGGGCCGTCTAGGGTTCCCTGTGGCAGCCCTGATAGATGTCAGAGTCCAGGCACCCGCACATCAGCAAGCTACAGCTCCTGGCTTCTTACAGGCACAGGCCACACAGCAGTCAGGGGCTGCAGGACCACACTGCCACCCTCTTTGCGGCTTAGAGGGGACAGAGGCTCTGCAGCCTCGAAGCCTCTGGCTGACCACTCCCCTTCCTGTCCTGCCCGCACTCCAGTAACCAATCACCCCCTCCTATTTTAATTCCCTCCGCTGGATACACTTGGTGAGGCTTCTGCTTGCCGGTCTCTCACTGCTGTCCCAGCTCTGTGCCGGCCCATAGCTCACTCTCCAGCAGGAAGTCGTGTAGGAGACAAGGTGGGACGACCCGCGTGATCCTCACACCCCCGAAAGCCCGCCGCACCTGTGGCGCGTACAACCACACTGTGGCCGGAAGAGGGCGCTGCGCCCCATCTAACCTGGTGCACGCGCGGGCAGCCGTACCCGCCCTTCCTCCACCGGCACGGGCGCCCGTCTTAGCCAGATAACCAGCACTCAAATGAAACCCCAACACTGCGGCCGTAGAATAAGTTCCCTTTCCAACATCATCCTTATCTTAAATTTCGGTAAACAGTTGATGTTGGATAAACCATCATCCTTAACTAAGTTTTTTTTTTTAAATATGGAGTTAGCATTTAATTTTTTTTTTTAATTTGAATGGCAGCGGTAAGAGAGAGATCTTCCATCTATTGGTTCATTTCCCAAATGGCTTCAACAGCCAGGACAAAAGCTAAGAACCTAGAATTCAATCTGAGTCTCCCGCGTGGGTGGCAGGGATCCAACTGAGTCATCACCACAGCCTCCCAGGCTGCACGTTAGCACACACACACACACACACACACACCAGCCTCCCAGGCTGCGCATTAGCAAACACACCCCCTCTAATGCTCCAGCCTCCCAGGCTGCGCATTAGCACACACACACACACACACACACACACACACCAGCCTCCCAGGCTGCGCATTAGCAAACACACACACACACACACCAGCCTCCCAGGCTGCACATTAGCACACACACACACACACACACACACACACCAGCCTCCCAGGCTGCGCATTAGCAAACACACACACACACACACACCAGCCTCCCAGGCTGCGCATTAGCACACACGCACACACACCAGCCTCCCAGGCTGCACATTAGCACACACACACACACACCAGCCTCCCAGGCTGCGCATTAGCAAACACACACACACACACACACACCAGCCTCCCAGGCTGCACATTAGCACACACACACACACCAGCCTCCCAGGCTGCACATTAGCACACACACACACACCAGCCTCCCAGGCTGCACATTAGCGCACACACACACACACACACACCAGCCTCCCAGGCTGCACATTAGCACACACACACACACACCAGCCTCCCAGGCTGCACATTAGCACACACACACACACACCAGCCTCCCAGGCTGCACATTAGCAAACACACACACACACACACACACACACCAGCCTCCCAGGCTGCACATTAGCAAACACACACACACACACACACACCAGCCTCCCAGGCTGCACATTAGCACACACACACACACACCAGCCTCCCAGGCTGCACATTAGCACACACACACACACACACACACACAGCAGCCTCCCAGGCTGCACATTAGCACACACACACACACACACACACACCCCATAAGGAGAGCCAGGACTCCAAAACCAGGCACTCCCAGTATGGAAAGCAGGAATCCCAAGTGGCATTTTAAGGGCTTCATCAAACACCAAAAACCTGGCCCAGGGCAGACTGATACGTGGGGCTGGTGTTCTGGTCTAACAGGTAAAGCTGCCGCCTGCAATGTAGGCATCCTATATGGGCAGTGGTTCGAGTCCCAGCTGCTCCACTTCTGATCCAGCTCTCTGCTATGGCCTGGGGAAAGCAGTGGGAGATGGCCCAAGTCCTTAAGGCCCTGCACCCGCCTGGGAGACCCAGAAGCGGCTCCTAGCTCCTGATCAGTGCAGCTCTAGCTGGTGTGGCCTCTTGGGGAGTGAACCCGCAGATGGAAGACCTCTCTCTCTGCTTCTGCCTTTCTGTAATTCTACCCGTCAAAAAAAAAAACCACGAAGAAAGCAGCAGCGGATGGCCCAAGGGCTTGGGCCCCTATACCCACGTGGTTAGACCCGGATGTAGCTCCTGGCTCCCCAACAGGCCCAGCTCTGGGACTGAACCAGTGGATGGAAGATCTAACTCTGCACGCATGAAGCATCGCCAGTCAGCTAAACCAGGTGGTTTAGGGTCCGTGTTGGTTCTTTAACGTGTTGTCCCTAAGGGAGCCTGATAGGTGACCCACAAGCAGCAGCGGCCATGGGTGCTCAGCAGAAAAGCCCGGAGGCGCTAGGCCCAGCCTGTGGCCCCCTGCGCCGCTGCGGTCCCCTGCTAGGCCTGGCCAGTCGATGTAGCGTCCTTCTGCCCAGCACATACCAGCACCAATTCAGCTGCCACCCCATTAGCATGATTCTTTCCACATCGGAAAATTAACAGAAACAAAACTCCTGGATCCTCTACCCCAGGATACAAGTTGGTGAAAGCCCTTTGCAAAAAGCAGACCACTCTCAGAGTTCCTTCAGGAGCCCCCGGTGGTAATGAGAAACAAAGGAGGTTTGTGTGCAGGTGCGCAGAAAACAGAGCAGGGAGAGCACACCTGATGGCTGTGCATCGGCGAGGCCATCAAGCCGCTCTATGAATGTTCTGCACGGGACAGGACGTGGCCAGGGCCCGATCACTTAGACCTATCGGGTGGGAATCTCCACTCTGCACTACCTGAGGAAGCACTCAGAATTCCCTATCTTACCACAATTTTTCTCTTTGTAGTAACAGTACTCCATGGGGGCCAAGACGTGAAAGTGAAGGACCTCCCAGTGTATCTGGTACACACCCCTCCCGGTGCTCACGCCAGGCTGCCAGGCTCATAGGGACGTGACCGACTCCCCCCCCCCCCCCCGGCCAGGCATGTGGGGCGTGACCAGCTCCCCCACCTTCCCCACCCTCGCCTGCCCGTTACAGACCTCCTCAAACCTGCAGATGACAGCCTGGAACAGAGGTGGTGATGGCCAAGGCTGCTTCTCTTACCTGCCCCAAGTCCACTCCCACCTGAGCTCCCCATCAGCCCTGCTCCCCGAGACTGTCTAGAAATGGGGGTGGTAACCATGACGAGCGAGTGGGAGAAAACACCCAAGTTCGACAGCAGAGTATGCAGGTCCAACTCGCAGCCCCAGCTCCTGGCTCCAGCTTCCTGCTAAAGCGGACCCCGGGAGGCAGCAGCTGTGGCTTATGTAATCGGGTGCCGCTACCCACGTGGCAGACTGCATGGGCGTTCCCAGCAGCAGCCTGGCCCGGCCCAGCTGTTGCAGATATTTGGGGAGTAAACAAGTAGATGGAAGATGTCTGCGTGTCTCTCAAAAAAAGAAAAAGAAAAAAGAAGCTAAATCTCTGAGTGACAGTGAAAACCTGGCCGGGGCACCTTTTGAGGGCCTGAGGTTCCCATGCTCCCAAGACAGCCCCGCCTGCGGAGTGACTTGTCCCTGACGTGGCCCCCACAGTGGGCGGGAACAGGGAGAGAGGGACATTGAAGCCAGCGCAGAGGACAGCAGCTCTGGCTTCCCCTGGCATGGCCAAGACCAACATGGATCCCGCCGCCACAGGGGCAGAATCTGCTGAGGGCCTGACTCGGGGGCCCATGGTGGCAGGAAAGACGATGACTCCTGGAACCCCACCTGCCTCTGTCTCTTCAAACTCGAGGAAGACCCAGAGGGGCACAGGGGGCTGGGGGTCGCCGGGTAAGAAGCCGAGGGTAACTTGCCGCTGTCTGCCTCCTGCTGACGTGGGGTGGGCTCAGCCAAGGGGGCGTCCAGCCCTGGCGCTCCTGACCCTGCCAGCCAGAGACCTGAGCCCCAGCTGAGGACATTCTCAACAGCCACCTCCCGCTACAGAGCCGGAGAAACCATTCAAGGCAGCCTTCCTGCAGGCCGGTGGCGGGCTAGGAGCCCCGCCCCCAGATGCCCTGACTTTGGAGCCAACACAGGAAGAAGTCCAGAAATGGCCAGGGAGGAGGGTCCCTGCCACCTCCCCCCATCCCACTCTGCCAGGAACCAGCTCCACCAGCTCCACGGATGAAGTCAGACTACCCAAAGTGCAGGTTCGGCAGCCCCCACCCCAGGAGAGGCAGAGCCCCCTCGCCAACCCGGGCGGGGAATGGGGTCTCCCTTCACAGCAGCTCTGACCCCGGCAGGCCCTGCTGCCCAGGAGCACCCAGTCCACTGCTCACTCTGGGGCCTCAAGTGGGGGCCATGCCCCCCCCACCGCGGGTGCAGCCTGCACTCCACCTCCCCGGGGCCCGCCAGCACAGCCACAGCCTCTCCGTCGGGCAGTGGCCGGCCCGCACATCGGACTCCACGCAGTGTGTTATGCTTTAATGAAGAGCTGGGTCAGTGGGGCCGCCCCCCCCCCCCAAGGCTCCCCTGCAGCAGATGCTGTGCACACTGGCTGGCCTGAGGCAGCGTGGCCCTGGGACAGCCAGCCCCGCCAAGGGTCAGTCTGCCGCGGCCTCAGACAAGCAATCATCTCTCGGACCTAGGAAGTGGCAGCAGCATCAAGGCCGGAGGCAGCGAAACTGAGGTCAAGGATGAGGGATGACGGAGGAGGACAGGAAGTGGGCAGGCCCTCGTCCATCCTCTCTGATTCCCCACGGGGCGGGGCCCAGGGCTCGGGAGCAGTACTGCCTCCCCGGGCCCGGAGGCCTTTCCACTGTCTACACGCCTCTAGTCCCAGCGCCCTGCAGGCTGGCGTCACGCAGGAGGTGGCCCACAGGGCCACTCGAGGCCGGTCCAGCAGGGCCGAGACCTGGAGCCGCCTTCCGCTAACTCTGCTCGTCCGTCACTACAGGCATCTAAGAAGGGGTCTCTCTCTCCCTCGAGGTTCCAGAGTGGCCCGGGCGGGCACAGGCAACAGCAGGCCAGGACCCCCGGGGCCTAGAGATCCGTGACCTTGTTCTCCACGGCAGCCGCGATCTGCTGGAGCCGATAGCCCAGCTGCATCTTCTGGGCCGTGCCGTCTTCCTCCAGGGCGGTGATGATCTGCAGGGCAGACACGGCACCGTCAGCCAGGCGCTGGCTGCACTCGTCAGCGGGCTTGAGTCGCTGCAGCCCTGGGGGCGGGAGCCCAAGAAACCCAGGGACTTCCAGGGGGAGGGGGCCACGGCAGGCAGTAGCCATGGGGTTGATGAAGTGCTCGACTCAGCACCCCAGGAGAGTGGCCTTGGTGTGGTGGTCAGCCCTGCCCACCGTGGTGCCCAGGAGCCCCACTCAGCCCTCCCGGCTCACCCGCCAGCCAGGCCCCAGCGCTTCCTGAGCAAGGCCCTCGTGCCAGGTGCTGGGCTAGGAGCAAGAACCTGGCAACGATGCGCAGAGGTGCTGGGGAGACAGAGGGGGACCCACCTCGACGACACGGGACCCACCATGGGGGGCACAGGCTTGCCACTCCCCTGCCTCCTCCCACCCCACCCAGAGCAAGGCCCAGAGCCTGGACTTCACACCCAGGGAGCCACTCATCCAATGGCTGCCGGGGGCTGGGGGCCATTCTGAGTGCTTCCTCATGCCTCAACGGTGACGGCTTCATGGTGGGCGCCACCCAGACATCTGAGAGGACGGCTCCCTGGGGATGCCGGAGGCTGACTGGTGGGGGCCCAGCCAGGAGTTCCCCAGAAAGACCCTCAAGGCCTTCGCTGCATCCTCATCCAGGCCTCCCCTGCTCCCAGCCCTACCTCCCCGGGGTCCCCTGAGCCACCAGTCTGAGACTCTGGGAGGCCCCAAGGGAAGGCAAGGTCAGGGCGGAGGGGGCAGCTGTGTGTCCCTCCATGACACCCTGGACACCATCTCCAGGACCAGGGGGACTCCCTAGCCCTAACCCCTCCCCCCACCATGCCTTCGACCCCTGCTGGGGAGCTGGGAGGGGGAGGAGCATGGTAAGAGCCCAACAGGAATGGAGCCTAAAGGACATTTCCCAAACCAACAGGGCGCCAACCCTTCCCCGACTGCCTAAGGCAGCGCCAGAGACCGCCCCAACCTGAGTCACAGGGCCAGACCCCCCCATCCATCCCCTCCTCCCCTCAGCCCCCCAGGAGGCCCTCAAGGCCTGCAGCCCGGGCCTAGGTCCACCCACGTCTGCCCACCTGGTCGTAGTACTTGTTGATATACTTGTAGAGTTCATGCAGGGCCACCCGTGCCCCAAGGTCTCCGGAGTAGTTCTAGACGAGAGAGAGAGAGAGAGAGCTGAGGGCGCCACCACCCGAGGGAGGAGGCCCACGACCCCCAGGAAGGGGGAGGGGGAGACAGGAGCCTGAGAGATGGGAGGAGGGGCCGCCATGGTCAGCAGAGGCCTGCAGGGTCGGCAGGGTCTCGGGTGCCCACTGGGGCCCTGCCTCGCTCCTGGGAAAGGCCCCAGAGCCTGTGGCACAGACGCTGCGTGCAGCCCGTTAGCCCAGTCTAATTCTGCTGTATTTCCTGAGGTCACTCCCAGGCCCCATCCATGGGGTCAGTCTCCTCTGGACACGGCCTCTATGCCTCCTAACTCGTGGTGCACCTGAGACCCTCAAAGTCACCGCGAAGGGCCTGACGCCTAGCAACGCCTCAAAGCCGTAACGGCGGTCAGCAGCGCTGCACAAACACTGCTGAGAAATGCCTGGAGCGCGCGTCTGGGGGCTGCTGGAGGAGCAGGCAGGGGTGTGTCTACACCTCCTGGGAAGGCCGACCCGGTGGGACCCGGAGCTCAGTCCCAGCCATCGAGCCACCGTGAACCCGTCATCCACAGGCCCCAGCACGAGCTGCAGGCACCAGGCACGCCTGCCTGCTCTGCGGTGACGATGATGGCTGCCCGCGAAGGAGCAGTGTGACCAGGGCAGGACGGCTGGGACCCGCCCAAGTGGCAGAGGGGGCCTTACCCGGGACAGCTCGGCCAGGAGAGAGTTCATCTCTTGGTCACTGGCTGGGACGGCCTGTCTGATGTCTGCATAGTACCTGCCAGAGAGCACATGGCAGCAGCTCCTGGGTGAGCAGAGCCAGCGCCTGCCCCCACCCAGGGCCCACCCCCGGGCCTCACCTCACCCGTGCCCCAGGCTCCCCCCGCTGCCACCACTCGGGACCCCTCCCTGTACCTCTCCACCATCCGCTTGTAGCGGGGAATATCCCGAGCATACAGCAGCTTGTTGATGGGGGAGTCCTGGGTGCCACCAGCAGGGGGGAAGAGAGGAGTAAGCTCAGTCAGCCAAGCCCGCCCGGCACAGGAAGTCCCACCTACCCAGGCCCCTCTCACCTCCAGGATGACTGGCCCCAGAGCCCGCTTCCCTCTGTAGGAACCCCCTCCTTCCATCACACCCAGCCTAGGCCTCAGAGGAGCCATGTCAGGCTGAGGCCACTCCCCAACCCTGCAAGCAGGGGGTGGGAGCGTGGCATTCGCTCCCCAGGGAATCGTTTTAGAAGTTGGCTGGCCAGGAGCCAGGGAATGCTGGACACTGCCCAGACTACCCAGGACCTGGAGGCCTCTGGCATCAGAGCCCACAGCGTAACACCGACACGGCCTCCGCCACCGGGCCAGGTTTGTGGCCCAGCGGCGGGCTCTGGGCAGCGACTGTCCTCGGGACTCTGCCTCATCCCAAGCTGCTGGGAAGGTGGGGGGGACCTAGGCCTGGTCAGTCCTAGGGGCCCGCTGTGTGCCTGGTCTGGACTGGTCCCGAGCCACCTGCTCTCCTGCTGGGAAAGGGGGGCATGAGAAGAGCTGGTTAAGGACCCAGACACCGCACGGCAGCCACGCCTGGTGGTAGCCCCAGGGGTCCCGGTGTGGCCTTGTGGTTCTCAGCTCATCACAGGCAGAAGAACCAGAACAACAACACGCAGTGACCTTTCCATTCTGTTTCTTCAGGAGGTCCAGAGGTCCATCACTCAGGAGACCCCTGGCCAACAGCTGCCCAGGGTCTATGCGAAGCGGAGCCCCCATTCCTGAACCTTCGGGTCTCCAAGGGCCCTGCCCACCAGCTGCCGAGCACACACACGCAGGTGCCAAACGCCACGGGACCCTAGGGTCTGGCTGTACTGACAACACACTCCCCACCTGTGTGGCACATCCCTCAAGTCTGGCACTCCCGGATCCTGCCAGCGGCAGACAGGCGCCTCCACTACCCACCAGGCCTTCCGAGCCACCGTGCGATTGGCAAATCCATGTCTCCACCTGGGAACCACCTGGTGGCCCTACCAGCACCACGTCTGAGCTCACTGCAGCCAGGGCCTGGGGATCACGTGGGCCCTCTTTCTTTTTGACCCATCCCACCCGGCTCTGCCTGCCCTGCACCTCTGGAGGGAATGGACACGAGCCCTGCTTGCCTGAAGGACCCACAGCTTCTTCTCGGGCCTCTTGGGCTGCAGTCCGTCCACTGCACAGCGTTCCCCAGCCCAGCCCTACTGCGCTCTGCCTCCTCCCACACCAGGCTGCACCCGCCGCCCACGTTAACCCGAGCACGGGCACACCACGCCCTCACTCTCACTCCCCCCTCAGGGTGGAGGCTTTGTCACCCAGGGAGCCCCAGGGACAAAGCCTGCCTGGGCACGCCTGAGGTCAGAGGCCTCCCCAGCCCTGTCCCCTGAAGCTCGCGGCAGAGCTCGGAAGCTGTGCACGCACACCGCCGTACCCGGCCCAGCTTGTGGTCAGCCAGGGTGCAGGCGTCCATGAAGGTCTGCGCGATGACGAGCAGCACCGCGTCCATGTTGTCAGACGTCTGCACGTCGAACACAAACTGCGGGTTTTTGATGATATTGATCCAGAACCTGAGGGGCAGGCTGGAGGGGCGGAGGCGGCCGGTGAGCCCGGCGGGGCGGGCTGGGGGTGGGAGGGAGGCCCGCCCGCGCCTCGGGCCCGCCCGGCCCACCTGTTGGTCTTCCAGATGTGCACGGTGTCCTGGTCGGAGATGCCGTGCTGCTGGGCCTGCTCGTCCAGCAGGTCAAAGAAGTACTTCACGGCCAGGGGCACGGGCCGGCTGGTGCTGAGGATCACCTGGAACAGGTCGTCCACGAACTTCTGCAGGGTGCCCTGTGCGAGGATGGGAGGCGGAGGGGGTGGTCCGCAGGGGGCCTCGGCAGCAGCACAGTCACAGCCACCCCATGCCTCCCGCCTGGGCGAGCCCCGGCCACCTTCATGGACAGCAGCCGGGTCAGGTAGATCTCGGGGATGGCCTTGGCTCGTTCACGCTCCCCACCTCGCAGGCTGCCCCTCCGAGGCCTGGGCGGCTCCGGCTCCTCACTTGGCTTCACCAGGTGCCAGGGCCGGACGCCCCCCTCATCTACATCCTCCAGCATTGGGGTCCCTGTGCCAAGACCCCACAGCTCATCACCCCTCACCAAGGTGCCCAATCCCCTGGTACCCCTGGATCCTGCCGACTCTCCCAGGGGTGAGGGAACCTGGTTGAGGGCTTCTCTAGGTAGAACAGAAACAGGCATAAGCCTGCCCTGCCCCCACCACCTGGGCGGGGCGGGGCAAGGCAAGGGCAGAGGATCACGGGGGACTGGGGTGCAGGCGGACTCACGCTCTCCCGGAACATAGTCCTGGTTTTCCCGGAGAATGTGCTTGGTCAGGCAGGGGACGAGGGCCACGGTTGCTCCATCCGGGACCTGAGGATCACAGCCAATGACGCCCTCCACCAGCCCCGCCCCCCCCCACACACCATACCCCTCTCCTCCACCACCCACTGCTCCCACCTTGTAATGCTGCAAGGTGTTCAGACGCCTCCACAGACCCTGGGCCTCGGAAGTGACATCCTCGTCTGAAAGAATGAGGTGCCCGGCCACCCCAGACCGCCACTCTGCAAGGGCAGGGCAGGACTGAGCCCCTACCTGCGGCAGCCCCAGCCACCCTGCCCGAGACCAGGAGCAGGGCCCTCCAGCAGTGACAGGCTGGCCTCCGCCCCGACTCCCAGCATCCCCCGCCTGCCCTGGGTGCCACTGACCCTGCAGAGCTGGTCCTGGGCCCTCCCTCTCCATCCTCACCAACATCCAGGGTCCGAGGGTCTGGCCGCTGGGTGAGGGGCACTCCTTTGTACAGCTGGTCCAGGATCTTCTCCTTCGCCTGGGAGATGGTGTCACAGTCCAGGACCTTCACAGGCACACCCTGGGCCTCCCCGGTGCCAGGCCCCACAGCCAACAGAGCATTCAGGGTCTAGGAGGACACGTGGGAGCTCTCAGGGTTCATGCCACACCACAGGATGACCAGGACACAAGGCCAAGGGCAGGGACAACCCAGGCGGAAGCCACTGCTCTGACCCCTCAGCACCAAGCAGACCCGGACACCTCTCTCTTCACCTGCCTGCCTCCCCCAGGGCGCAGCTTTCTCCACTCCTGACCCCAGCCCACACCCTGAGCGCTGGCCAATGTCTGTGGGGTAGATGCAGATGAGTGAATGGACATGAGGGCTCTTCCCTGGGGCTGCACTGCTCAGGCTGACGGACCCCAGGGAAGCCCACAGAAGCAGGGATCCCCCACCTATCCCAACAGAGGAGTGGCAGTGCCCAAATAGAATTTCCTCAAAGAGCAGAGAGGAAAGCCACCCAGAGGTGGGTGGCAAGCAGGTTTGCTGGGGGCAGGCGACGTAAGGAGATGAGCAGCAGACACTCGGGCCCCAGTACAGCTCAGGCGCACAGTGCAGGGCAGGGCTGGCTCCTCCCAAGACCAGGCGGTGGCCATCTGGAGCCTGAGGAACCTCTCTGTCCCCTCAAGGCCTGTCCCCTCCGCACTGCCCTGCTAAGCTCGTCCCAAGGCCTCTTTCCAGCAGCCACCAGCGGCCAGGCTGGGCCTGCATCCAGCTGCAGTCAAGAGCCCCCCACATCCTCCTGTTGTGGGCCCCACCAGGGACTGACACTACACACACGCACACCCTGCCTCACCAGGGGCCGGTACTCCACGTCCTCTCTGAGCAGGCGGTTGTCATTCAGGGTGTACTTGGCTTTGCCCGTCACGCTGTCCACCGGTCCCTTGTCTACTTGATGCTTAATCCCCCGGAAGAGCATGTACAGGGGCTCCCCCACCGCGTCCTGCGGGAGTGCAGGCACTTAGGGGCCCCGGGCGGGCAGCAGAGGTGCAGGGGACACGAGGTGACCGAGGACACATGGCGGGGACGGGCTGCATGGGGCGGGGCCCGATCCCGCCTGCCCGGGAGCCCTGTCCGCCTCTGCCTCCCTCACCCTCACGAAGGTGTACAGACAGATGGACATCCAGTTGGTGAGCAATTTCTCCACCACGGTCTCTGTCCTGGGGCGACAGGAAAGGGAGAGGCCAGGGTCAGCAGGGGGCTGCGGGGCTCTCTCATCTGTGAGGCCCCGCCCCAGCCGAGGCCCCGCCCAACGCCCACCTCCCCCCTGCAAGCCACGGACCTGCGCAACATCAGCTTCGGGTTCTTGGCCACATACTGGGCCACCAGGTCGCTGAGCAGGGTGCGCAGGATGTCGGTGAAGTACTCGAGCTTGCCGTGCAGCGCCACGGTAAGAAGGGAGGCCACGTAGGCGCGGTCCCGGGCCGAGAAGGTGCGCTGGCTCTCCAGCGTGTGGATGAACTGCAGCCGGAGACAGCGCCGGCTTCAGGAACAGTGGGAAGCCAAGGCCAAGGCCAGGGCCGCGCCAGGGAGGAGGAGGAGGAGGGGGGAGGCACCTTGGTGAGGAAGAGCTTGCTGTTGAGCAGGTTGGAGAGCTGCCCCAGCCCTTGCTCCACCGTGGGCCGCCTGCTCTCGGGCACGCCCAGGTCCCGGTGCAAGGGCGACTCCCGGTGGCCGGGGAAGAAGACCCTCTCGGCGTAGACCCTGTAGTCCAGGAAGGGGATGCCGCTGCCCAGGAGGTCGCTCGTGAGATCCGTCATCTCGGTCATGAGGTCTGTGGAGCAGCAGGGGCTGGGTTTGGCGCATGCGCCGGGAGCGGCTGGGGCGGGGGCGGGGCCGGGGTGGGGGCGAGGGGCTGCGCCCACAGTCTCACCAGTGAACTCCTTCTTGCAGCGGTCACGCACGCTGCTCTCCAGGTTCTCCAGCTGGATCTGGACTTTCTTATAATCCCTCAGGGCCTGCTTGCTCTTCCTCCTGCTCACACCGAGGTCGGCGGGGATGGCTGGAGGGGCCTGAAGCCCTGCTGGGTCCCACTTGGCCCAGGCACACCCTGGCCTCCCCCAGGCCAGCCCAGCCCAGCTAGCCCAAAACAATTTAGCCTGTCCCATCCCCGTCAAGTCACTGCCTCCCATGCCCTGTGGGACCTGGCACAGTGGAGCCCGGTGTGATCACTATGGCACCCAGGCCCAAGCCCGCCCACAGCCTACTTCTGTAACTACAGATCGTAGCCACCCGGGTGGTTCCACCCTGTCCGTGGCTGCTCTCATGCCAGGTGGCAGATTTGAGTAGTTGCCACAGAGACCACCAGGCCCACCAAGCCAAAAAAATTAGCCCCTGGCCCACTCCCCTGGTCTGTTCTCCCTCGGCCAGACACACCTGGCCACACCCACCTGTACATAAGGACGATGATGATGACGCCCAGGGCCAGAAGTGAGGTGCCCACTCCTAAGCCCACTTGGGCTGCCACAGGGAACGCCACGGGGCTCTCGCCGTCATACTGCACGTGGCCCAAGGAGAAGCGCAGGTTCCCCATCTGCACCTGGATACGGAGGCACCAGTCAACAGGGATCCAGCACACGCCCGACGCCCAGCGCAGCCCAGCGCAGCCCAGCCCGGGACCTGCCCACTGACTGTGAACTCGGGCAACGCATCGGGCGCCTCTCGGAGGGCGAGGTGCCGTGGCAGGGGCTGCTCCACGGGGGGCTCGCAGTACAGGTGGTACCGGGTCAAGGTCTTCACCACGCAGGGGCCGTCCCCTATCATGGCCACCACCTCCTCCTTGGATATCGCAAGGTCCAGATTCTCCCCCTGGCATATAGATGGGGTCACAGATCAGTCATGCCGAACCCAGATCCCAGCCCCTGGTCCCTCAGTACCACTCTGCATGCGGAGCCAACAGCCCGAGATGCCCTCCCACGCTGCCCAGGCTCCCAACACAACCTGAGTTCCCACTGCATCTACTGGTAGAGTAACCAGCTGTGGCCTCAGTGCCCACCTACTGCCAACCTCATGTGCATAACAGGTGCCCTTGCATCTGTGTGAGCCGGGCTGCCAGAGGAGAACCAGCCCAGCCACGGCACAGCTACCACGCACACCAAGCCAGACATACTGCCACTCAGACACCTGCCGGGGTCAGGGTCAGAGCCCCGCCCGTGCCAGGCCGGGCACCTTCACACTGGCCCCTTCTGCCCCGGCCACAGCAGGGATGAGGAGCCGCGGCCGCCCCGGCCTCGAACTCCACGGTCACAGCCTCTCTGCTGCGCAGCAGAGTTGTCCAACAGCGGGGGTGGAGGTGGGGAGATCCGCAGTACCTCCACGGAGAACACACTCCCGGGCTTGTGCCGGAAGGGTGCGGTGGGATCCTCGGGGTTGAGGGGCCGCAGGGTGGGGTCGGCCTCGTAGGAGAAGGGCGAGGGGTTCAGTGTTGCAAAATCGAACACCAGGTTGTCAAGAATGAACTCCACCCGGACCCGGCGGTCCTCGGGCAGGCCCGGGAGGGCGGGTGTGCGGCACACGATGAGCTGGGAGGAGTTCACGCTGCAGGGCTCCTCGAACTGGCAGGAGGAAGACAAGGAGGTAGGTGGGGGGGTGAGGAAAGGCGGGATGCACGCCCCTCGGCTGTCCTCGGGGCGCGGAGTGGGGGCCCCAGGGCAGGCAGGGGAGGCCCGGGGCGCCGTACGCGATGACCGCCACAGGAAGCTCCAGGGGCACATGGCGTCTCGGAGACCACACGGCGCCGCCGTCCCTGCCCGGGGCTGGGCCGCAGCGCTCCGGGGGCCACTGTGACTCGGATTCTTGGCGTCTGCACCACATCCAGGTTCTGGCCACGGACCCAGATCTCACGGCCGCCACTGAAACACAGCGTGTGAGCCACTGTGGCTCCTGTGACCAAGATCCAAGCTCAGCCTAGCCCCAGCCCCATGGCACGAGCCCATCTGTGGCACAGGGTTCCCAGCTCCGTGCAGCCACACCCTTGCCCAGCACCTGAGGAAGCTCTTGGTAGGGCCAGCAGAGGTGACATTGGGATCCGACGTGTACTTGAACTGGCCTTGTTGAAGCTTCCGCTCTGTGGCCCCAAACCACACCGCCACGGAGAGAGTGGCAGGCACCGGGTGTGGGCTGGTCTCGCACTGCAGCTGCTCCGACTGCTGCTCCAGCAGCCTGCAGAGGAGAGGAGAGGGAGGCAGGCCCAGCCCCCTCAGCACTCACGGCGTTCCTCCCCACCGCACCCTGCCGGCCCTAAAGGCTGCTCTCCCACCGCACCCCTCCCTCTGCTGCCTCCCCCACTTCCTCCCACCCCATTGTCTCCCTGGGGTGCATGGACTTCCACAAGAGAAAACGGTCCTCACAGGTGACACGGCTGCTCTCCAACCACCACTTGGATGTCCTCCAGCCGCCCGGTCAGAAGGTTGGAGCCGCGCAGGGTGAGGCGGGTGCCCCCGGCTCTGGGCCCATGGGTGGGGAAGATGGAACGCACCTGCGGGTCCTAGGGGAGGGAGAATAGCAAGAGATAGCCACCATCAGGCCTGGAACAGAGGCAGGGAGCCCAAGACAGACATGGCCCTGGGCGGAGCCCCAGGAAGGGGAAAGCCGCAGGCCGAGGGCGGGGCTCAGCAGTCAGCACCTGGTAGGCAAAGGCAACGTCGGAGACACCGCGTCCTCTTCCCTGCACCTCCACTGTGGCTGGGCCGGTCACCTCCTCCCCACTGGCCCCAGTGACGCACACGAGGCTGCAGGCACAGGGCAGGCTGGGGGTGCTGGGCTGCACTGCGGGCTCCCCAGACGGACCCAGCAGCCCCTGCCCCTGCACCACGGACAGGTGGTCCCCCCTCGCCATACGCCACAGATGAGAGGGGTCCTTTCTCTCTCAGGGCACTCCTGGAGGCATTCACCTGCATCCCAGAAGTCCCCAGAAAGGAGGAACTGATTCCCAAGCTGTGGAATACATTTACAAAGCTGCCCTGGGACTGGCACTGTGGTGTAGTGGGCTAAGCCTCCACCTGCGGTGACGACATCCCATAAGCCGGTTCAAGTCCCAGCTGCTCCACTTCTGATCCAGCTCTCTGCTGGGAAAGCACTGGAAGATGGCCCAAGTGCTTTGGCCCACCTCCTGGCTCCTGGCTTCAGCAGCTCAGCTCCGGCCACTGCGGCCATCTGGGGAGTGAACCAGTGGATGGAAGACCTCTCTCTGTGTGTCTCTCCCTCACTCTGTCTGTAACCCTACCTTTCAAACAAATCTTAAAAAAAAAAAAAAAAAAAGGCAAAAAAAGCAGCCCTCTGAGGCTGCCTGTGGGGGAGCTACTGGGCTAACGAAGGGCCCAGCCAGCCATCAAGTGCACAGCCCTCACTCCCCAGGTGATGGAAACGTGAGGTCTTAACGATATCAGAGGCCCCTCAAGCCTCTGGTCACACGTGGGGACGCACGTGAAGCTCTAAGGAAACGCTGGCTCTCAGCCACCAGCCAGAAGCTGGCAGCAAAGTCATTTCCAGGACGTCAAGCCTGAAGCGGCTCGACTCCGTGACATTGCCACGGTCGCTGCAAACGCCTGGGGAGAGCAGAACAGATGTGTGACCCGCTCAGGGGACGCCCAGCCGGAACGTACTTTCACCGCTTTGGAAATCACCTTGCGAATGACTTAAGTCTCACCGTTCTGAAACCACGAGCAGACGACTAGGGACCTCGAGCTCTCGGTCACCACACGCTTGGGGGCGACCCCGTGGGCTCTAGCAAAGCGGTTCCTTGTTTGCGGTATGGGCTGTGGAGCCCCGCCAGACTCCAACCTCTGAGGGTGGAGTGAAGGACCTGCTCCGCGCGCTTTGGGGCAGCCTTTCCCGGTCACCCTGATATCCAGCCGGCTTTGGGCCTTGCCACTGTGGATACCTCCAGGCGAATGTCCACGATGTACACATTTGGGGCCCCTCAACAGCCAGCCAGATTCCCATGACCCCAGACCTTTGCAAGCTACGAGCTCTGAAAAGGCAGCTGGGGGTCCCTGGACACTGGGCAGAGGGGCCTTGGCACTAGCAAGTGTGCCGCAAGTTCACCTCCCGCAGAGCCTGGCTCGGGAAAGAAGAGTCAATGGTGACAGAGCACAGCTGTCTGAAACCATCGAGGCCCCTGCTCCCACCGTGACTGCTAGGGCCAGGTCAGAACTCCTAGGCGGAGCCAGGAAGCAGGGCCACCTTCAGCTCTGGGCAAAGAACCTGCCCCAGACAGGCCCAGGAATATCCCAGACCAGTCCAGACCAGGAGCCTACAGGCCTGGATGCCAGGGGCCACTGCAGCACAGAGTTCTTGTGACGACATGAAGGCAAGGGGAAGTTGGGAGGGAGGGAGAGGGCAAGTGGTGTGTGGGAGGCCCTGAGCAGGACAGCCAGCCCCCAAGCCCACCTACACCGCAGCCAAACGGCTCACCTGCTGGAGACCTCGTACTGCTGGGCGTCCACAGCACAGGGCACCCCGGCCACGCTGACTGTGTGCAGGACGTCCTGCACCTGCTGGCCCAGGTTGGAGCCCCTGATGGTGACCCGGGTGCCCCCGTCCACAGGCCCGGTCAGTGGCTCCACCTGTTCCGGAACGAGAACTGCTCACTGCCACCCGCCTGCTCACATGTGACAGCCTGGGGGGCAGCCCCGGCCTCCCACCTTTGGGCTCCATGCACCAGGGCACCCGCACCCTCCCTGCAAGGGCAGCGGCGAGGAAGGGCTGTGTTCCAACGCACCGAACGGATGAGAGGCGCAGGGCACTGGGTGGCCACGGCCTCAGCCTCACCGCACGCCTCCCGGGCCACGCACCGTGGGTGCTCCCCCTCACACCACACACAGCCGTACTGGGGCAGGGCGGTCTGGCAGCGGCTGCAGTCCCCACGGCCCACGGAGCAGTTGTATAGAACGACTGGGGGTGGCAGAGACGCAGGTGAGGGCAGGCGGGGAGCACGCGGCTCCCCCCGCCGGCACAGCCCGGGGGCTCACCGTGTAGCCCTTCAGCCCTGTCCACTCGCAGTCGGCCCGCCCGGCGCAGAAACAGCCCCACGTGGAGCTCCGGCAGTGCAGACTCGTAGCTGAGCTGGGGAAAGGGGAGTGGGGTCAAGCACAGGCCTAGGGCGGGGGCACTGGGAAGGGAGTCAGAGAAAGTTCCAGAATGGTGGTACTGGAGCTTAGGGACCCCTCAAGTTGCGGGCCAAAGCTGGGCTGCAGGGACCCCGTGAGGCACATGGTCAGATCTAGGCGTGAAGTCGGGGTTGCAGGGTCGGAGCCTGGGCTGGGCTCGGCATGGCACAGCCAGCTAAGGTCGTAGGCAGCCCAGGGCGGGTGCACCCTTGCCCACCCAGGCTCTCGGTCTGCACCTGGTGCTGCTGGCACGTGACGTGGCACCAGGTGTCTGGAGGAGGCTCACACTCAACCCGGGCCGCCACCACCACCTCGAAGCCCTCCAGCTCCATCACGCACTCATTGTCTCCCGGGCTGTCCTGGGGGCAAACAACACGGCTGATGGGGCAGCCTCAGGAGCCAGGCCCAGTGAGTCCGCGTGGGCTGCCTAGCACGGCCTCTGGTTTGGGGCTGAGACCTGGCGCCGTGCTCCCTTCCTGCTCCCCAGGGCTCGTGCAGGGGGCCGCGAGCAGGACACTCTCACCTGGAAGAGGCGCAGGTTTCTGCCCAGCAGGCGGACTTCCCGCGCCACGTGCACCGGCATCAAGGTGGAGCCCTGGACGCTCTCCACGCACGGGCAGGAGCCTGCCCCCCAGCTCCCCTCTTCCTGCAGGCACCAAGAGCGTGGCAGTCCATGGAGCCCATGCTGCCCACCCCCCCGCCCCCGCCGGGTTCCACGTCAGGCCGGTGTGGGGCTGCAGACCGCCCGCACCCTGCCCTGGATCCTCCCAGGACAGAACCGCAAGGCAAGCAAGGGGCTGCGACCTCCCCACGAGCCTTCCCGAGGCCTCCTTCCTGGGCTGGGCCTCACCAGCTCCCAGAGCCCGGGGGTGTCGTACTGGTAGTCGAGGCTGGACAGGAGGATGAGGGGGGCGGGAGGGCCCTCGTGCTCTGCTGAGTCTCCATCACCTGAGAGGAGGGTGGAAGTGGAGAAGGCGGGCGCGTCACCCCCCGTCCACTCGTCCGCCTCGGGCAGCTCGCCGCCTTCTCTCATGAGCCAGTCCGGGGTGGGCTTCGGGGAGCCAGCGGCCCCTGGGAAAGTGGTGGCAGGAGCAGTGCCAGGGGGCTGGTCCAGGGGCACCGCAGAGGGAGGGGCCTCAGGGCTGGGGTCGGCAGGGGGCACCTCTGAGGGTGACGGGACGGAGGCCGAGGGGTCCTCAGGTGTGGCCTTAGGTCCCAAGTCAGCGGGGGCAGGGGCAGTGGATGCAGGTCTGGGGGGGGATGTGGGAGAGGGGGGCTGCTCGTGGAGAGGTGGCTCTGTGAAGGCCGGGGAGGGCACGGGGCTGGGGCCTGGCCAGGGGCTGAGCAGGGGAGGCCCGGCCTCAGAGGGGGCATCCCAGGCTGCGGCTGTGGAGGAAGCCCCCGGCTCCACCGGAAGGGGCTCGGGAGCAGGGCTGACCGAGGCTCTGGGGGCTGTGGGTGGGAAGGGGCCGGGCACATCTCTTGCAGGAGGGGCTAGGGAGAGAAGCGGGCTCTGAAGGGAGGCAGAGGAAGCCAGGAAGGGCCACTCAGCAGGCAGGCGCGGGAGCAGGAGGCAGGCAAAGGGGACGTTAAGAGGAGAGGAGACCAAGGAAAGAGAAACAGAAACAGCCCATTAATCCTCCGCAGGAGAAGCGGGAGGGAGGCTCCAGGGGCGTCTGGACCGAGGTGGGGCCAAAGGCCAGGCCTGCCGGCCTCTGCCCCCGACCCGGTGGGCGTGCAGCAGCCGCTGTCCAGTGGGTCAGTCACACACAGGCACAGGGGCTCGGGACGGGACCTCACGCATGCAGGCAGGCAGGCAGGCACACAGACACTGGCCCCCCAACACCCTCTCTGGAGCCCCCAAACCCTGTGCGGCTCACCTGCTGGCTCACCACCATCGGCCCGGCATCACAGGAGGCCTTGTGTGTGCACAGGTGCTGCCACACGCACCAGTTGCACCCCCAGCGGCTGCTCACGCAGGCCTGGCACCTGCACGGAGCACAGCCATGGAGCAGGGGTTGCCGGGGGCAGTCGGGGGCTGGGAGGGGGCACGGGGAGGAACTCACTGTGCGGAGGGGCGGAGCTCCGTGACTGCCACACAGTCATAGAAGGAGAGGGACGCTCTGACGATGACGACAGCGCCAAACCTGAGCTCCACGCTCACCGAGACGTGGTCTGTGGGGGGAGGGGGGAGGTGCCGGGGCTGAGGGCGGGGCAGGGTGCTCAGACCCTGAGAGGGGGGTGAGCCTCCCGAAAAGGGAAAAGATGCATACAGTGGGTTGGGGGGTACAGTCCACGGAGCACAGGAGCACAGTCCACAGAACACAGACTTCAGGGGGCGGGGTGCCAGTGAGGGAACTCAGCGAAAGGCATCGACACAGGGCTCGCTGCCCGGCTCCACACCTCGCCCCAAACTCCCCCAGCCCCAGCCAGGAGCAGGCAGGGGCTCCCGGGCCCCGGGGCTGGCCCCGGCCCTTTCTCTCACCCACCAGCTCCACGCTGCAGCACCGGGGCCTCACTAGGGTCCGGGGAGGGGCACATCACACCAGAGCCAGTCAGCAGGGCGGGACTCTGATGTTCCCCAAAGTGGCAGGAATACGACTCCCCAGGCCACAGGGGTGGCAGGTCTGGCACCGTCAGGAAAATCTGCCAAGAGAGCACAGGACACACTGTTGGGGCCCCTGGGCAGCAATTATATGGGCAGGCACCACCAGCCCCTCACCCCCAAGCCTTCACCAACACCCGCAGGCCTGGGTCATAATAAAAATCAAGAAATCAAGGCTCCAAGAGAAGGGACTCTGCAAGGCTACGTGCTATTGGGTGCGTCTGACACCAACTCCCAGGGTCCCTCACCTCCCTCTTCTCGTCTCGGCTGATGTTGGCAGGACTCATGGCTGTCACTCGCAGACAGCCTGGTTCAGGCTGGAAGCTCCAGAGCCACTGCTCTGGGCCTTGGCCCCTGGAGCACTCAGAACGGCGACTGCACCTGAGCGAGAATGAGCAGCACCCGTCCGTGACCTGTGGGGGGCCCTGTGTATGCCCAGCATGGAAGGTGGGGAGCAGGGGTTCAGGGTGCAGGGCCAGGAGGGTCGGGGTCGGTGGGGCACTAACCTGCCAAGGAGCACACACCACCCACAGTATGGGTCCCTCTGCGCCAGGCAAGACGCACAGTCCAGGTGCTGAGCGCAAGACGCCACAGGAACCTTCAGAAGCTGTGAGAGCAGAGAGCACCTGAGGCCAGCAACCCCGACACCAGCGGCTCATTCACCCACCGGTCCCTGGCCCCGCCCCAGGCTCCTTCCAGCAGCCACGCCCTGGCTCGTGCCTGCCACTCACTGTGCTCTGGGTCATGACATACAGGTGCTCAAAAGTCCCATCAAAGATGAGGTCTCTGCTCACTGCAGACCCCTGCTGGACGCTCTGTGTCAAGTATGGCTGCCCATCGCTCCCGGGGCCCAAGTAGACCTGAGATCAGAGAGACCACAGGTCTGGGAACCAAGTCCATGGCCACAGGCCCAAGGCCCTCCCTCACCCACAGTGGACCCCTAGGCTGTGACAGGTGCAACCAGCCCAGAGAGGGCAGGGAGCCACAAGGCTGGAGGCCATGTCCTAGGGGACACAGAGGTGACTCCAACCAGGCAGGGTCCCCAGCACCTGTACCCTTTAGATCCTGGGTAAGACCTAGGACTTCCTGTGGACACACCCTATGCAGTTGCCCTTGACTGTCACCCAGGAAAGCGATGGTGTGTCCATCCTCCATGGTGACTGCCACAGCTGTGAGCTGAACTCCCGGCAACTCCAGAACTGGTGTGGCTTCCAGCGGGACACGGCTGGCCATGGGGCTAGGTGTGTGGTCTGAGCCACAAGGATAAGCATCCAGTGTGTCCTACAGAGAGCAAGGTGTGTTGATAAGACCCTCCCTGGGCACCCACACCCCTCCCGGCTAGCCCAGAACAAGCCTGTCTTCCCTGTAGTCCTCCTGGGACAACCTCAGCCTCGCCCCAGGCTCGACTGTCCTCCCTAAAAAACTCTTCCTGGGACAACGTCTCCCACATTCTCGGTCCTGAGTCCTCACCTCTACTGGTGCCCCCCCCCCCATCCTTGGCCCAGGAGCCGCTTCCTTCAGTTCTTGTGCTCAGCCTCCTCCTGGGCCACTTTCCCAGCTGCCTCCTCACTGCCCAGTGCACTCCCCTGCACTGTCCCCACCTCCCCACGACTCAGTACCCCTGCGCACACCCTCTCCCTGCTCTCCAACCTGAGCTTGTGGCCACGCAGGTCCTACTCTCACCTCCCTCCCCTGCTCAGAACCTAAAACAATGGGACACCATCCAACTTTCTGCCCCTACCCTAAAGCCCTCAAACACCCCATCGTCACCCTGAATGTGACGCGTGCTGAGTCGCCCTCTCCCTCCCAGGCACACAGAGGAAGCACCCAGCATCTGGACTGGCCCTTCTTCTCTCCAGTTGCCCTGGCCAGCGGCCTCAGGGAAGGGGAAAGGCCGGCAGCCAGAGAACTCACCACGGGCAGCTGCGCGCAGTCGGAGTTGACGTCGTATTCGATGTAGGCCACCTGGCTCCCGTCCTCAGCACGGCCCTCCCGGGTGTAGCAGGCGTCACGCGTGTGGTTGGCAAGCCGGTCCACCTCGTCCAGGGGGAAGGCACACAGGGCAGAGGCTCCCGCAGCCCCGGCAGCTGCTGATGGGGGCCGGCCCACAGCCGGGGGAGCAGCCGAGGAGAAGGCGGCAAAGAGCACCTCCCCACCGGACTCGGCGCCAGACGCAGCCACGGCTGCAGCCTGGATCAGCCCGTAGCGGCCGCCCTGGCAGGCCAGAGGCAGCTCCACATAGGAGTAGTAGTGCTGGTCCCGGAGGCACACGCGAGACACATAGGCACGGAAGGCTCTAGACTGAGCCTGCAGGTCCCGCCGCAAAAACAGGAAGTAGGCGCTGTCCCCACGCGCGAAGGCACTCACAAAGTGGTGGCTGTACTCGGAGAGGCGGCCCACTGCCAGCTTGGCCGTCTCCTCGTAGGAGAAGGCGACTTGGGGGTCTGGGGGCTGCAGAGCCCGGGTTGTGATGGGGGGGATGCCGCCCCCCACACCCTTGCTGGTATATCCTCGCCCCACAAACAGGAGGGGCTCCCCGGCCAAGCCCTGGGCCACCAGCCCCACAGTGCTGACGGCGGGGTCATTGGCAGCCACATACTGGGTGTCCCCAGGCCGCTCCGGCCTCAGCAGCAACTGCTGGAGCTGCCCCAGGCGCCGCTGCTCGCAGACCCCCTGGTGCACGCTCCCGCACGCCACCAGGGCCCCAGGGCTCACCAGGAGCAGCTGGTTTGGGTTGTTCGTAGACTGGGCCTGGGGACACTCATCGGGCATCACGGGAGGCAGGCAGTCCCTGCTGTCTAGCACGGGCCCAGTGGACACCTCGGCCTCCAGCTGCAGCCCAGGGCTCAGTTGGAACAGGAAGTTGGTGGCGCCTAGGTAGAGGGTGCCGGAGGTGGGGTCCCTTGCCAGATGCTGTAGATTTGTGCCGTTGGGAGTGAAAGCAGCTGGTGGAGGCGGCTGGAGGGCGAGCACCCACCCGGCCCAGAGTGCCTGGAGAAGAGCCAGGCCGAGGGCAGGCATGGTCACCTGGCAGGGAGAGAGGTAGAGCAGAGCTCATGTGGCCACCCGAGCACCGGGGATCACTGGTGAGGGACGAGGCTGGGGCATTGCCAAGATGCCCCTCCTAGCCCAAGGGCTGAGCCGAGGAGGATCAGGCTTAACGGACACCACGGTCCAAGCCGACCCCGAGGCCACCACACTGTCAAGGGGCAAGCATAGCAGATTCTTTCCCCGGAAACATCAACCCCACCCATCTCTGTAAGCACTGCTCCTGGGAGACCTGCACCCAGTCCATGCCACCTTCACCCATACTGCCCTGGGCCACACGAGGATCAGACAGGGAGCAGGGCCTGGAAGGGACTGGAGAGCAGGCGAGGGGAGGCGGCAGTGCCCTCTACGGATGTGGGTTTCCAGAGCATAAAGAAGAGGGAAGGTGAGGGCCCCTGGGCCACCAGCAAGTCAGAGCTGGACAAGGATTGGGGATTTTCAGGCCCAGAACTCAGGACAATAATCACAGAACCAACAGGTGGACGCAAAAAGGGAGGCTCGGCTGAGAGTGTGGGGTCCCGAAGCCTGGGCCCCTCCTCGGAAGCCCTCAGCACAGTGGGGTCACTCTGCTGCCACAGGCCTAGGTGTGCGGCCAGGCTCACCTGGCAGGGCCGGCTGGATCAGGAGACAACAGCATGACCTGAGCAGGAGTCACCTAGCCAGGGGGAAAGCAGAGCATGAGGCTGGGGACGGGGCCGCGGGCACGAGGGCGCCCTGGGCTCCCCACCGTGAAGGCAGCACCGAAGTACCCCTCCCCACTGCCCAGCCGCCGGTGGAGCAAGGCCCAGCCTGGCCCTCGGCCACCAAACACATTCCACAGAGGACGCCTCCTCAGAGCCCACAGGGGAGGGGAGGGCAGCAGAGGCAGGCACTTGAGGGGCCTGGGAAAGGTCAGCTAGGAAGGAGACCCACGGCCAGCAGGGCCCAGCCAGGCCCCCAGCACAGCCCTCTCCCACTCTGGGTCCTTTCCTCTCCACCATGCCCTGTGAAGGGACCAGATACACAGCCTCCACACAGGCCAGGAGCCACCAGCACACTGGCAGACATGCACCAAAATGGAGGCACACCAACCCACCCCACCCCCAGGCACTTGCACACACGCTGACACAGACAGGACCTACACACACAGCAGAGACACACACACAGCAGAGACACACACACACAGCCAGAATGGCGACACAGCACAGAAGCTCCCACGTTCAGAGTCCACACAAGACACACCCGTGTAGACAGCTGGCAGTGCACACACACACAGGCACACACTTCTGCACGGGCACACATGGACACACCCTCACACAGGTGCGCACATCTGCACATTCAGACATCCTCAAACGTACACTCCTGCACCCTTCCCTGGTCAAGCCCAACGTCCTAGAGAGCCGTGGAAGCTGGGCTGTCTCTCACTATTTCCTCTCCTGCAGGTGAGAGCAGTGCCGGGGCCCAGAGTGACGGCCAAGACGCAGGTGTTCCGGAGGAAGTCACCATGCCCGGCTGCATCCCTGGTCCCCAGGGCCTCCCCAGATTCAAAGGCCTGCTTTCCTCTTGGGACCCTCCTTGCAGGCCGGAACCGAAGCCCCCGAGTCCCAGAATCAGGAAATCATGGCAATACCACCTTCCCCAGACCCAAGTGTCCTCAGCCAGCAGCATCAAGGTCGGCAAAGTGATGGGAAAAACCCTGCATCCCAGGCTGGGTGACACTTCCCCCACTTGCCCGGCCCAGGCCACGTTGCCCGCCCCGCCCACCACCCAGCTGCCAGGCTGTCAGTGCAGTGTCCTAAGCCTTTGCTCCTCTTCACCCCTGCAGAGGTCTCAGCAGGGTGCCTCTGAGGCTGTCCAAAAAGTGAACAGGCCCCCCCACCACCCAGGGCTCAGAGGAGGGTCTACAGGCCTGGTGGCGGGAGCTGGGACGCTGTGGCCACAGCCTGGTGGGAGCAGGGGGGCCACGGCCACAGCCTGGCTGGGCACTGCTCCCAAAATAGCTTGGGGGTTTCCATTTTTAGTGTGCAGAGAACAGGGCAGCTCTTTGGGAGCGGGAACAAGGCCGCCTCTGTTTGCCACCCAAGGGGGTGGGGGGGGAGGCGGCAGGGAAAGTCTCGAACCCGGCCAGAATCCCAGGACTGTGGCAAGGCCAGGCTGCCCAGGAGCCCCCCACCTTGTCTCCAAGGGATGGAGAGAGCAAGTTTCCTCCTCTGGGAGGACTGGGCCTCCCTGGGGATGGCCAGAGGCCACGGCCCACACTCAGCTGCCTTTCACCCCTCCTGCCACTCATGCCAGGGATGTGCCCTGGGCATTGGGTCCTGCAGATCAACATTCGCTCCTTCATTTGCTTACAAATATTTGCTCAGAGCCTACTGGTGCCAAGCTTCTCCATCCCTCAAGAGGCAACCACAAGTCACTCCCCAAATGGGAAATCACAGCCCGGCAGAGGGGCCCACAGGAAGAACGGGCGGGGTTGGAGGCCTGGGGCTGGGCCACTCCAGGGAAAGCTGTCAGGGTTCTTCCCCTGCCCCACACGGGAGGAGCAAAGAAGGGCAGTGACATTTCCGCCTGCGTGTGGACACACATGTTGCGGTCCTTGGAGCAGCCCCCAGCCCCTCTGCCAGGATCTTCCTCTAGCAGAACTGGAGGGCATCTCTGCCCCCAGGGCCTCTGGTGCCCCCCCCGGGGGAGGTGGGTCAGAGGACAAAGGCCAAGGCCCTCTAGCCCCCCGCCCCCCACATGCTCTTCGTTCCTGATGCCTGAACGACAGACAGCGGTTCGCTCCTCTGCTGTCAAGTCACGCGGCTGTCCTGCTGCCTGGAATGCCCACTCCCTCTCTAGCCCATTAACTCCCACACCCAGCCATCCTGCCAGGGTGCTGAGGAGGTCACTCCGGGCAGCAGGGGATGGAAGAGCTGAGGCTGATGTGCCCCCCTCCCCCAGCTCTGGACTTGAAGCTCCTCAAAGGCAGGGAGTGTGGCTCCAGCTCACAGACGGCAAAAGAGCAGGTGCTCTCTGTGTGGTGGTAAAGGGAACCCCGCTGCTAGGGGAGACCATGCCCCCTGCCCACTCTCCAAGCCACTTGGTATCTCCTCGGGCAAGGCAGCAGGCCCCCCTCTTATTAATGGCTGACCCCAGCAGACTGGAAAGGCCGATATGCTGATTTGGAGCCAGCCTCCTGTCCCCGACTTGCACCGTCAGATCTCCTCCCACTCCCCACCTCTGGGGCTCTGTCCAGGCTCACCGCCAAGGCCTCACTGCCCATGCCCAAGCGTGCCTGGTGGGCCTCTTCTGGGCCCACCTCTCTCTGCACCTCCTCAGCAGGGCCCATGGCCGCCTGTAGAAAGCAAGCACTTCCTGAAACCTCGTGGAGCTGTCCTCACCTACCAACGAGGCTCACGGCCCAGCCGTTCCACACTCCACACCTGCACATTTACCTGGGGGTCCGTGGGAACAGGACTCCCTCTCCGCCCCCTGCTCCATTCATTGACGGTGCGGCCGTGCGCACTGCCCACCCTGTCCGCCGTGTGTTGCCGCGGGTGGGAGAGCCACCGCCGGCGGGATTCCAAGATGCCCCGCGGTGCTCACCATCACGCACCCGAAGTGTGGAGCGGGACGCGCCCTCAAGCCTGGAGGCTCGGGGTCCGCCTTTGTCAGTCCCGCGAGCGCACCTGCAAAGGCTGTTACTCTCAAGGGGGCGCCGCGGCCCTCCCCCCTCCCCGACCAGGTCGCGGGGCGAGGACCCCACCCGTGGCCCCGGGAGGGCGGGGAAGGGGCCGGTCGGTCCCCGGCGCGGCGGCGGCGACGAGGAGGGGGCGCGGAGGAGCAGCTCCACCTCCTCTGTCTCCCAATCGCGTTACAGGCGGCGCCGCCAGAGTTTCCCTCCGCGCGGAGAAGCGTGGTCCCAACTCTCGGCGCCGAAGCCGCCCACCACTCCCCAGGCCGCCCCTGCCCGGCCGGATCCCGGCCCCAGACCGCTCCGCCTCGGGGCGCGCGGCCTCGCCGGGGCCCCGCCGCCCCGGCCCCGCGCCCGGCACTCACCGCCCGGCCGGCCGCGCGGGATGTGCGCGCCGAGGGGGCGCCGGCCGCTCGGGACGCGGCTGTGTGCGCGGCGGCCTGCCCCGGAGGTGGGTCTGGCGGAGCCGCAGCTGTTACCCGGAGACCGAGGGGCGGAAAACTGCGCCCGCTGCCCGCCCCTCCCGCCGCAGCGCTGCCACCGCTGGGAACAAAGGAGACAAAGCCGCGTCGGCCGGGCCCGGCTCCGCTCCTTCCCCCCCCCCCCCGCCCGCCGGGCCGCCCTCCCCCCGCCCGCCGCCGGGGCCAGGCCGGAAGCAGCCGGGAGAGCGGGGCGCACGGCCCCGGACTGCCCGGGACCCCGCATTCCGGCCGCGCGGCCTCCGCGCCCGCCAAGTGCGGGGGTGCACAGCCCCTCCCGCATAGGGAGGGGGCTCAGGGGCTGCCCGGCGGCGGTAGCCATGGCAACACTGCTCCGCCCCGCCCCCGCGGGGCCTCACCTGCGCGCTGCTTTGGAACTGGAACTGGGAGCCCTCCCGGGAGGGGAGCGGCCGGGCCTCTCTCGCCTCGCCGGAGTCGGGTCCCGCGCCTCACCTGGCCCGTCTGTTCGTTGGCCGCCTCCGCCACCATCCCGCCCGCTCTCCCTTCCAGGACGGGCTCCTGTGGACGTTCTCCCTCAACTTCCCTTACCTGAACTAAGGCGCCTCGTTTCTCCCCTGCGCACCTGGTCCTGCCCACCGCTCCTTCTCCCGGGACTCCCCACCAGCCAGCCCCTCCCTCCGCCCCCACCTTGCGCTGTTTGAGAGCAGAGCTCGGGCTTTGGACCTGGGTTTGCGCCATCGCTAAGCCCTGTAACCTGACACCCGCCCCCCCTCAACCTATTTGCTCACCAGCAAGTGGGGGTGAACCCCCCTCGCCCGGCCGCTGAAGCTGGCACACCGGGCCGAGGTGCACCAGCATGGGCGCCCCGCCCTCCTCTCCGTCCCAGGCCCCTACCTGGAACCACCCCAAGCTGAGAAGCCTTGGGCAAGTCTAGACTGCCTCACTGGCGGACTCCTGGGCCTTCGCAGGAGGAAACGCTGGGCAGGAGGGTTCTCTCCTGAGGCCTGTTTGTCCCTTCCCATCCACAGCAACGGGAGCCAGGACCTAGCCCATCCTGTTAGAACTTCTGGAGAGTTCTGGCTCGAGGCCATTGGCACAGCCTCCTGGGAAACAAAACTGTCTCTCACACACACGCACAGGCACACACATCACTTGGAAGCTTCAACCTGGAGGTGCAGGTCGTCCACCCCAGCTACTGCCCTGACAGCCAGGGTCACAGACACCCTCCTCCCACCCCCCACCTCCTCGAGGGCTTCCCCGCAGTCCCTCTCATCTACCAGGCTCTGTGCCTTCCGAATTCTCCCTCCCCAACTCTTCAGGTGAACCCTCTTCCTCCACTTGGATTCCAGCGCTTGAGTTCCAGACACGGAGCACTTGGTCTACAGCGGCGGCTTGGCACAGGTCTTTCACCTTGCTCTCTGACGGTGTGCTCCACAAGCCCCACCCCATCCGGAGCACCGCCTGTCAGGAGAATCCCTCCCTCAGCTGCCTACCTTGGCTTTCCTGCTTCTGCAGCTTGCGCTAGCCCCTTCCACGTGTCCAGGGGCCTTTCCTCCCCAAAGCTACTCACTCAAACATCTTTCAGGATCTGCCTCTTCCCAGAAGGGAACCTGGTTCTTGTGAACCCCACTGCTCCCCTCATCTGCTCACAGTCATGGCACCTCCTGCCGCACCAGGATCCCAGGTCATTCTGGATGGAGGGGCCAGAATGCGGCCATTTGGGCCACACTCACAGCCCAGGCTGAGCCAGGCTCCAGGAAGGTAGGAAGGGTGCCTCACAGGAGATACTCCTGGTTCTACTGGGCCTCTGCTCAGTCAGCTGTGCAGGCACCGATGAACAAACCGCTACCCACAGACCCTGCAAAGAGCTGGGTGTGTTCTACAGGGAGGGTGGGCTCTCCACTAGGCTCCATTGTGAGTACACAGCATCCCCCAAGCTCCCTGTTTACAGAAGGCCACCCACGGCCATTTAGCCCGGGAGGTCAAGGATCACAGAGATCAGGAGTTCTAAGGGCACTCTGCCTCCATGCCCCTATGGGGGGGCGGGGGCCCCTCCCCATCACTTCCTGTGCGTTCACACTGCTGGTGGCCTGAGCTCTGCCCACACCTGTCAAGGTCATCCCAAGCTCGGCATACCCAGCCCCAGCACAGCAGCACTGCCCGAAGCCCTCGCTGCACTGGGGACCCAGGTTGGCCACCATTCCTGTGACGACGTCCCCAAGCTTTCTTCCCACCTCTCCTCAGATCATTCTTCCAGCTCTACAGCCAAATTCTCCCCTGTGATCCGGAAGTGACGTAAGTGGGCTGACTCACAAGCAGGTAAGGTTGCACTGACCAGAGCCTCCAGGCCACCTGACATGGGCAGGTCAGGCAAGCAGAGGACAGGGCCAGGAAATCCAGAAAACCAGGCCTCAGGAGCAAGTGTGTCCAGGGCGGCCCTGACAGAGGACCACGGGGAGGCAGGAACGGAAGGGGCCCGACCCTCGAGTCCCGGATCTCAGCTCTCAATGCACGAAATTCAGTCTCTGTACATTTTTTTACATAAAACAAACTTGGAAGATATTTTAATTGGACATTAGCGCAGCGTTTTGATAATTCATGTAAAACACTGCCTACAACGCAAAGTGTGCCTGAAGGTGCAGCGGCTCAGGCCGAGGTCGTGTGCATCTCCGAAGGCTGACTTCGCTGCTGGGATTCACCGACTAAATCCTCACCCACATCGAGCGCTTGGGACTCGCTGGAGGGGGCTCTGGGCTAGCTGGCCTTGAACAGCATGTAGAGCACAGGCAGGGTGGCCACAAACGTCACACAGGTGACCAGCGTGCTGTAGACGGTGTTCCTGTTGGCTTGGGCCTCAAGCCTCTGTTCCATGTCCGACAGTGCCAAGATCACAGCCCCCTGCTCTAGCAAGGAGCTGGGCAGAGCCCTGTCTGCTGGCTCCTCCGGGCCTGGGTGTGCTGCTGTCTTTGCAAGCTGCACCACCCCAGCCATGTGGCTGAAAGTCTTTTCCAGGCCATCGAGCTGCTCCCGTAAGCCCTCCAGACATGAATGGACCTGCCTGGAATGACTGAGCTGCTCTTTCAAAGCAGCTGAAAGGACATCTCTGTCTTGGGGAGGGGAAGTACCTCCCGGAGACCCAGGGCTCTGCCCCTGGCCAGCGTGCACCAGGCCTCGCAGGTCCGCCATGAGGTCGTGGAGGTCCCTCTGCTGGAGGGAGTAGCTAGACGCCTGTTCCCGGATGGCCTCTTGGAGACTCACAGGCCCCTTCTGTGCCTCCAGCAGTAGAGCCTTCAGCTCCTGGAGCCGAACACGGTTCACGTAGGTGGAGCCAGCCACGCCAATGAGGGCCCCCAGGACGGACCCGATGAGGGACCAGTTCTTGGTCCTCTCGGCCCTCGTGCGCTCCTTCTCGTGACTTTCCCGCACGGCCGCCGAGAAGAGGGAGAACTTCTCTCGCTCGGAGTCCTCTGCACGCAGATAGGCTGTGCGGAGCCTCTTCTCCTCCTGCGGGAACGAAGCCGGGTTAGCGTTGCGGTGACCCTGCGGCCGTGGCCACTGGCAGGTGGTCCACTGCCTGCGGCTGGCACCCAGTTCCTGCCTGGGAGACGTGTGCTGGATGAAGACTGCATAAGCCTGGTGGGGTGAAGCAAGCTGCATGGTTTCATGAGCAGTCTTGGGTTCCACCAGTATCCAGCTGCCCCTCCTCCGTGCTACTTCATCCCCAGCACTCTGGCTCCCTGACTACACTGCCCTGGGCTATCCCCTTCAGCACCCTGGAAGGCTGGGGCTCTCTCTCTCCATGGGAGTCTCTGACCAGTCAGGGTCCCCACCCACTCCCTCACGGGCTGCCGTCCGGGTCCGGGTGAGGAAGGGCTGCCTCCCAGGGCGCCTACCTGCAGCATCCGGTGCTCCAGCGTGGCCAGCTCCAAGTACTGGCTGTCCTCCCTGGAGACGCGGTCCAAGCGGTCCCTCACCTCCTTCAGCTTGGCCTGCTGAACCTCCAACTCCTCCCGAGCCTCCCGGACGAGCCCACGAGCCACCATGAACACTTTCTCTGCCTGTGGAGAGAACAACGGAGGCTGGCTGCCCCTTCTCTCCACACACAACCCCATTCCCAACAAGGCTTTGGCTAGGAAGAGGTCCTTGGGTGCCAGCTGCAGAGGGTGGAACCAGATCCTTGGACACTAATCCTGGCTCACCCAGTGGTGCTCAAAGAGCAGCCCTGGGCCATGCCCATCGGAATTACTGGATTTGTCCATTCAAGTAGAAATAACACACCCTTGAGAAACTTGGAAACAGCTAGTGCACACAATCCGTATCCACCAGACCCAGCCACCTCTGGTTTCATACGAGCTACGGCATGGGACTTATCCGCTTAAGCGGCTTGCTGCCTGTTACCTTACTCATGCCTTACAGCACTGTTGTGGGTACTGTTGACTGCATAGCCCCAGGGGCCCCAGGGCAAGCAAGCTCAGAGTCTGTAAGCGTAGAGACAGCAGTGTGCCCACCTCTCTGCACAGCCCCATGCCTAAGCTGGAATGGGAACAGAGACGGCACAGTGCCTTCCTGCTGCCACAGTAGCACACAGTCTGCTGTTTCCTGGGGGCCCTTCACAAGGGCTGTTATAGTCACATCCAGACCAAGAGTTGCTGTGACCCCCGGCAATGCAGAAAGTGCTCCATGGCCTACAGAATGGACGTAATGGCCAGGTCACAGTGCAGCAGGGTAAGCTGCCACTTGTGATGCCAGCATCCCATGTTGGAGCACCGGTTCAAGTCCTGGCTGCTCTGCTTCAGAGCCAGCTCCCTGCCAATGTG